CTGGGGTTTTTGGTGGAGTTGGTATACCAAGAAAATAATTCCTAAAATATTTGAAAGGTTTTATATGTGAATTTAATGAACACATCATGTTGCTGGACAATAATCAGATTGAGATGTCAATTCTTTACTCTTGTAAAATTTCAAGGCAGGGTGGGGATGGTTCTTATAAATTTCCAGAAGAAAGGACTTTTTTGTACAGGGGGTGGGTGTACTGGTAAAATTGGACAGGGACTTGTAAAGTTGCAGGGAGGGGAAGATCTCAAGAAATTCTTCCACGGGGGGGGGGGGGTACTCTAATGAATAAATATGAGGGCATCCCCCATGAATGTCAACCTGATAAATAAAACAATCTATGTATTATTTATACTTAATAGACAGACAACAACTAAAATCTAAGTACAAATACAATACTACAAAGTAGGAATAGTGAATATATAATATACCTTAGCATTTGTTCAGTGATCAGCAATCGTTTTGGAACAGCGATCAACAAATCACCGACATTTATCTGTCTTGTTGCCATTAATCCCCTGCCAGTGCCAGGAAAGATGGCTGGTTTCATTTTATGAAAGAAAACACCATTGTGCTTTGCCCATTGGAACAATGTAATGTACTCTTGTCCATATGCTAAGGACGTTGCTTTTTCACTTTTATTTTGTCTTTTACGCCAAGTACGACCTTTAGTTTGCATTCTGAGCAATAGCTAATAATTGGGAGGCTTTTATTTAAAGGAAATAAACATTAAAAAGCAGTAAAAACAATTGTAAAACTTATCAAAATTTAAATTTGGGTCATTTAAAAAGTGACCGAGCACGGTTAGGGGTCTGGCGCTAGTCACTTTTGTTGTTTGTAAACTATACTATATAACTGCGGGAAGACAAATGGCCGTGGAGGCACCAGAAGACGATTATTTTGATGGAGATTTTGAGTTCGATGCCCCACAATGGATGGACTTTGAAGGCGAGAAAGACCAATTGGAAAATGACACAAATGAGTGAGATTTTTGTTTGTACTGTAGAAATAGTAATAAACAGTGTGGTATTTGTATAATATAAGGTCTCTTGGTTAGCTATTTACCACTAACTACAGCACAGCCTGTTATTATTGTTTCTGACTTTCTGCAAAATATTAACACATAGGTTCGATTCCCAGTTGGGAAATTTCTTACTTTTTTGTCACCTTTTTTTTCTTCTCGTTTTAATAGGCGTTTGGCTTTATATAAATTAGTAACGATTTGGGAATAATATTTTGTTATGACACATTTTATTAATGGTTTTATTTAGGTTTTTTTTTTAGTATAGTGCACGGTTCAAAACAAACAGTATTGTATTCTATCATTTTATTTATTTCGTTAGCGATCAATATGACTGGTGGTTTCAGAAAATACATCCATTGCACTCACCCAACCTGAACACGCCTGAACCCAAACCAAAGAAGCGCCCACTGCGGAAATCTGTCTTGGGCATCGAGGGCTCCAAACTATCAACCGAAACTGGTAAATCTAGCTTGACAAGTAAATCCAGCCTACCTGGTAATAAATCCAGTCTTGCCAGTAAGTCTAGTCTTACCAGTAAATCCAGTCTAACTGGTAAATCCAGTTTATCTAATCCAAAACGAGAATCGGAAAGCAGGACAAGTAAAGGAAACAGTATTGATGAGACAAACATGTCAAGTTCTAATCAAGGAGATGAAGTCGTCAAAAAACCTCGGAAGTGTTGGCAGTTGAATGGACACAGTTCGTTAAGCTTTTCGCCACAATGTTTGTCTAGTTTACCTAAAGGTAAGTAATAGGGTGACAAATAGGATGCTTCCACTTTGACTTGGCAGGTTTTCTATTCTTGGGTTTCATATGACGTCACAAAAGTGACGGGGTGGGGGTGGGGGGTCAACTCTAAAACAAAACACAGTTATCAGAGTGAGTCGATTGCTCATTTTATGTATTAGCCTTGTGTTTGGTGACAAATACACAGAATTTCGTATCATTTTCTCAACTCCAGTACAGCATAAGCATCAATACATTTGAGGTTGACCCCTGTCAGATTAACTGCATAATGCCGTAGTGAGACCCAAGAATAGTTTCTTCCTGTAGTAACACTGGATCAATAATGAGCAGTTCTTACTTTTACCCCTACTGTACCCCTAGAGGGAACAGTTCAGAACTGATAAAAGTAGATCTATCTAGGAATAATCTAAGGCAATTTAATGCTTTCTTAACATCATTAGACTTACAGCCAAAGCGAGTCAGTTCTAACAGTTCATCAAACAAGACGTCACTACCAGCAAGAGTCAGTACTGAGGTTGCCACCTCGCCTCTTGCACCTGGTACACTGTCTAGGAAACTTGGAGTCAAAAATAAGAATTTAAAAACTGCAAGAAGATCCTGTCCTCAAAACTTACAGAAATCAAAACAAGCATGGGTAAGATATTATCGACGGATATTTTCAATATTGTTAAATTGGGCAAAGTACAAGGGAACATTAAAATTTTTTAGAATGAAAGTTCAACCTGTGGTTCAACAAAAAGCAAGAATGTTGTTGTTGATGAGGAGCTTCAAAAGATAATTGAAAAACACAACAGCAAATTCCTTAGTCAACAATCAGAATATGATTTAAATGGAAGACGAATAAGAAAAACTGCATCACCTGTAAAACATGCCAAGGTGTGTACGCATCACGTATCTATTTTTTTCATTTGATCCCAGAGCATGCCCGTTCGCAGGTTAGGGGTGGGCAGGGCAACCATAACCTGAAAAAAGGCATGCTCTGGGTGTGAGATTGTTCCAGAGCTGCTGAAAGGCTGTGCAGGACAGAGTACCCCCTGCCTACCCCCTCTCGGCAGCCCTGAAGTACTGTCAATGGATAATCTTATCTGGGACAATGGACCATTTGCATTATAGACTAAATTTTGATCTAGAAAAAAATTTCATCACAGCTTGAAAGAGCATCACAAAATTAGTAATATTCCAAAGTTTCGTTGCGAAATGTTGTAAAATGCGGATAATATATCCTTGCGAAGTTTGCAATTTTCAGTCATTTTGTATTATTACAAATGGGAAATTGATGCCCCAATACCCGATTGGGCTGTCAATTTCCCGTGCGTAATACAAAATGACTGAAAAACGGCAAACTTCGCAGGGCTATATTATATTATCCGCACTTTTATACAACATTTCGCAACGAAACTTTGGAATATTATTAATTTTGTGATGCTCTTTCAAGCTGTGATGAAATTTTTGTCTAGATCAAAATTTAGTCTATAATGCAAATGGTCCATTTGTTGTTTTGTGTTTGTAGAAGGAGAACGTGAAACCAGCAGCTGCAACGACAGTCAACCAAGAAGACATGGACGAGGAGTTACGTGAAATGATTACTAACCACAACAGACGTATCTGGACAGCTCAAAATTCAGAATACGATTTGGATGGAAGACGTCTTCGCAAAGGAAACGCCACTGTGGTTGCACCAACAGCAAAGGTACACAAGAGAGTGTTAAGGCTCAGTATTTAACATTGCGTCAAATGCGCTTGCAAAAATTCATAAAGTGCCTGCGAGCGATGCTCGTGCGCTTTTATACAGAACGTTAAAACTACACGCGTAAAAACACACAAGTTGTTACAGGTCTGCAAGCAAGTTGTTACAATCTGTTCACAAGCTGTCAACAAGTTGTGCTCGCACTGCTTGTTCCCAGCTGTTGTAACAAGCTTGATGGCATTATCAGAATTGTTACAAGGTTGTTCTAACAAGTCTGATACAGTCATGATATAACAAGAATGTTACAAGGTTAACGACACAAGGTGTAACAATATTGTTATATCATGACTGTATCGGACTTGTTGGAACAACTTTGCAACAAGTCTGATAATATCAACAAGGTTGTTACAAGTTGTTAACAGCTTGTTCCTAACTTCAGTTGACAACTTGGGACAAGCAGTGCGAACACAACTTGTTGACGGCTTGTTGGCAGACTTGCTACAAGATGTGAGATTCTACCCTGCGCGTTCAACTAACGACTTAAAGCAGATTCCACAAAGACGCAAGCAAACTAAATATTTTTCCTCTTTATTTCAGACAAAACCCGAGGCACAAAGAACGCCAACGAAATCAAAAAATCTTCGAAGATCCAACGAAACAAACCAAAAAAGAAAAAATCCATCCAAAAATTCCGAAGTTAATTCAAAGTTACATGAAACTGGATGTAATACCGTCGAGAGCTCGACTGATTTTGAAAATGAAATTCAAGAAATAATTAGTCTTCATAATTCAAGGCTCGCAGCCAAGAAAGCAAAAAAGTAGAAACTAGAGACATATGAATAGTGTATAGTATTATAATATAGATTGTACTGTAGTCTGCTCTGTGGTATTAATATGAAACTTCTAAATTTTAATGTAATGCATCGAGCTTAAATACATTGGGAGTTTTTATGTTGAGTTTAGCCTCGTGTTTATATGAACAACTTTGTACACGTGTTATGATCATGCCAGAGAGCTCGCGATGAAATTACGAGATTATTTCGAAAACAGTGGAAAGACAATGGAACATTCTGATCTGAATCATGACTGGATGGCATGGAGAACAGGAAGATTTTGAAAACAATAAAAAGACAATGAAACATTCTGATCACTGGATGACATGGAGAACAGAGGTATTTCGAAAACAATGAAAAGACAATGGAACATTCTGATCACTGGATCATGACTGGATGGCATGGAGAACAGTGGGATTTTGAAAACAATGAAAAGACAATGGAACATTCTGATCACTGGATGGCATGGAGAACAGTGGGATTTTGAAAACAATGAAAAGACAATGGAACATTCTAATCACTGGATGGCTTGGAGAACGGTAAGATTTTCAAAACAATGAAAAGACAATGGAACATTCTGATCACTGGATCATGATTGTTATTATTAAAGTGTCATGAAAAGAATCCATATGGCACATTCGCACCAATGCGTTAATTACGCTTTAACAGTGTTTGATTTAATTTATCTTTGATATAAATATACGTTGTTTTCCACTACTATTCCGAAGTTAGTAAACAATCACGAAGACAGTGTCTATGGTGATACGGTACCAGTACTTGGCCCATAAACATGACGTCATATCTTAGCATTACGTCATTGATACTCAACGTTCTTGACTCGTAACACAACCGGAACTGACGTGCAAGGTATCATACCAATTTCCGTTATCACCATGGAAACGAAATCCGAAGGAGTGACGTCATATATTAAATTTAGGAGATTGAGCGAGTCTAGTTGTCGCCAGTTATGAAGTGTCTCTGAGCCCATTGCATGCTGGTCTGGTATTAGGTCGTCTGGATCACCTTGAGTAAGATTACATAAAGTACAGAACGTGAGAATGAATCGTGGGCTCAAGTGGCAAAATTATCGCAGGCTCAATTCCTGCCAAAGTGTTTCGCCCCGGGCAGGTGTAAAATATATACAAATATTTGTGTTCGCTCAAAATTTCATATATATTTAAAACTCTTTCAACATTCTGTTCAATCGAGATGCCTAAAATCTACAATATTTACCCCTGATCACTAGCATGCGCACATGAAGTTATGGTTAGCTCTTGACAACTGGACCAGTGGTCAAACCGCTGTACCGGAATCGCAGGGTGGCAGATTCGATTCCCGCCAGATGGTCTATAGTTGCATTTTTCACAACTGCCCCTGGTTAGATGTAAAAATGCATACAGTTTTCGCCCGAAATTTTCTACCCATGAAAAACTCTATTTTCGTGCTGCATCAGAGGGGCTATACTGTTGTATTTTTTACAACTCTCCCCATTAACGATGCTTCATGCTTGTGATGTTACTCTGAGTGTATATCCACACCGGGCAAGCTTGAGTACATTACACCAACACAGAAAACAAAATCTCCCCATAAGTTTTAATATTTTCTATGTCTCTATGACCGAAAAAAGCTTTTCTTACTTACCTAGTTCGTTGAAAACAAAAGCGTCAGTCTGTACTCGATCACAAAATTTGTATGTTTCACAACAGACGAGGACAGGAACACTGCATCTCTTCGCAACCAAACTCACCATGGCTGAACCAATCCTCGACATTACACAACCATTGGCCAGCAATGCATGAGCACCAAGAAATACTTTCGAAACCTAGAGTAGAAGAATAAGATTGTATTGTTGGCTTCAGTAAGGGTTACAGAATAACGGCCCTGCGATTTCGGTGCAGCGCTCTAGACCAACTGAGCTGTAGAGTCCAGTTGTCGAGCTCTAATCGCAAGTTCATGTAATTCTATTGGGATGATGCCAGGCGTATGTACCAGGATTTATTGAGGATTATTGGCCCTTTTTGCATGGGCGTCTAGAGGCAACAGCTTACTTAGAACATGTAGATAGAGCTATCCATTATAGATCTCTATTAGAATATATTCCTATCAAAACATCATACCTCCTTCATGAGATAAGCCAATGATGTGATTTGTGCGTAAGAACACTTGATACCATGTTTCAACAATTGCTTGAGACAGTGAATTCCTACAAAACGTAAAGGCGAAAGTTTAATCTGCATTGTTGATTTGAGAATGTCAGCAAGTTGTAGCGAGGTGATTATTCCAGTCTGATGCATTTCTACCTTCGCTTTTAGGTCTTGAATCAACGACTATAACTCTAAATTTCTTGCCAGCGTCAAATGCATCTTTCAAAATCTTTACTATCAACGACGAACTAAAATGATAAGACTACACATCAATACAACCAACTAGCATTCAACCTGCAGTTATCAGAGTGAGATAATATTGTCACAATCTAGTCTTTTCATTATATGTAGTATAGTCTTGTATTCGGAGACAAATAGATTATAGACTAATTTTTTATCTTGGCAAAAAAGTATATTCCCGGAAAGACCATATACTAAAATGAGTAAAATTGCAAAGTTTGGTTACGAAATGTTGTAAAATGCGGAAAATATAGCCTTGCAAAGTTCGCAAATTTTGTATACTTTTGTATTGCATGCGGAAATTCCGGCTACCACATTTGGGCGGAAAACGGTAGCAATTTCCGCACGCAATACAAAAGTATACAGAATTTGCAAACTTTGCAAGGCTATATTTTCCGTATTTTACAACATTTCGCAACCAAACATTGCAATTTTACTAATTTTAGTATGTTCTTTCTAGCTGTGGTGATTTATTTGCATTTCCTTGCCTAGTTTTAAAATTAGTCTAAGACGACTATCATCTGTGGACCCGCTATACGACTCACTAAAATCTAGCAATAAAAGTGTATAATATTTGCTCATAACTAACGCTGTAATTCTTACCATGCATACGTCATAATGACGTCATCATCATTAACTTTCTGAATGGCGTAGTTTTTAGAAATGGCTTCACCAGCCAGTGAGATTTTCTCCTTGATAAATTTGTCGACACTTTCTATTAAATTTTTCTTTGCCTAAATAATATTACAGAGATTTGAATAATGGGTAAATTCATGATGAATAATGAAGCACCATGACTGATCAATTCATTCCAGGGCATTTTTTAACTATGTAACTACTGGGGCATTTACCCCAGTAGTTACATATTTACTCTTTGCTTGCCCCAGTAGTGAAGCAAGATTTTGGGTTCTTTTGATCATTAGTAAAAAGTCATCCTTGTTGAAAAAGTTGCATCTGCCTGCTTTCTCATATCCTCTCACATTCTCAATATTCCATCTTATAAAAGTCAGCATAGCATAGTCTTTATGTACGCGTAACCGTATGGGGAAAAGGTCCTCATTCAGACGTAGCCCCAGTAGTTGTAATTTCTTAAAAATGCCCTGCACTTCACATTGTAATATTCATCAAAACCATAACTTGACTGACCTGTTTTTCTGACATGCTAGGTGGTATTTGTGTGATCTGCAGTTTAAGATACTTGATGGCGTTTCCCATGCTGACAGACAGAGGACGACATTGCGTTAGAAATCTAAAAACATGGATAAAATAAACAAAATAAACCTCTGTCCGGTAATGTTTGACAAAAACACCTGAATTACTTACGTGATATTTGGTTTAAGTTTCACTTCCAGATCCCTACATAGTTCTTTGTGGGTAGGTGTTGTATAGTCCGCTATCACCTAAGAAATTGGGAGTTTATTTATATTATATATTCACATTTTTTATATTAAGAGTGGTTTACACTATCAACGTTTCTGTGATCACAGTAGGAATTTTGTAAAGGTAAATTCTATGTTTGTAAGAGATGCTTGAGGGAACTTACACAGTGTTTAACACTTAATTTCTACTGTCATCACAGAAACTTTAATAGTGTATACAATGTCTTTTTGCTGAAACGTTTGAGGGAACAGCGGTGGAAATCTTGGTGGGCAAGGGGGTGGCTGCCCCCCCCCCACCTTCACGGAAAATTGCCGAATTTTCGGAAATTTTGACCTAAAAGAGGGCTAAAAACAGTCTTTTCGAGTGCAAATGGGGGTACGTCGGAAATTTGAAAGTTTTGTCGGAAATTTAGGAGGCTTTGCCCCCCCCCACCGGAAAAAGTGAATTCCCGCCACTGTGCGGGAACTGTTAAACAATGAGTCAGTTCCTTCAAACATTTCTTACAAATCTTTCAAAACTTAGAATTTAGCGATGCAAAATTCCTACTGTGATCACAGAAACTTTGATAGGGTAAACCAGGTTTTATTTGGAAACAGTAACTTGCAGTGTTGTTGACGTACCTGTTTGAGGGCAAAGAGTAAGGAGACACATCTTGCGTTTGAGCCACAGATGATTCCTTCAGCATATTGCAGACCCAGTTTAACTATTGCTGGATGAATACTGCCTGATGTGAACCTTGATAATAGAAATTTATCATTGCTTTCATAATACTGTAGAGTGTTAGTGGTACAGTAATTAGTACATGTCTCTGTCTCACCTCCGCCCACCCCCTTGGGGCTGTGGTGGAGCTGTGACCCTGTGAAACATGTTGCTCTGCAGGCACCTCTATAGGAGTAACTGTGGATTGGATTTTTTAATAGAGAAGCTAGCAACATGCACTGATCAGATCAGTAGCAGCAGCATGGCTTACCCAGAGGCCTGTACGTCCACCCGTCATTTGGATGTGTATTTTTGAATGTGGACAGGCAAAAAAATGTTAAAACTCCAGTATTTTGTAAAAATAGTCTTCTTGGGGCGGGGGCATGCCTGGCAGATTGGTAATCCTGGCTAGGTCCCTGGCTTGCAGAGGAGGTTAGTCACCAGGGATCTCTGCATTGTCTGATTATAATTTCCCCTTTCCATCCAGGTGATCTGACGGTGAGCAAAAGGACTGGGACTAGCAACAGAATAGAAATCCATTTTCGTGCCTTTAATCACTTGTCACGCCCCGATTCTTTTGTGAAACTGTTTGAAACTTTGTATCTGTGTCTTGCACAGGGAAATGAATGTCTGGGACAAATTTGAGATAGAAATCTAATACTGTTGATGAGATATTGAGTAGTTTTAAACCAGAAATGGATTTCTATTTTACAACTAGTGCCAGGCCTTTTCCGAGTTCCCAGATCACCTGGATGTGAGAAGAGTTATTTCCTCCAAAAAGTCTCTGTTGTAACACTTGACCATGTATGGGGAACAGTTTAGAACTGATAAAGAGTAAACTTAGAGCTTACTTTATTTCTTTAGTTAGAGCTTGTTGTCTTTCATATTGATGTAAATGTGAGAAGAGACCAACTTTCTTCTGCACTGACATGCGTTGCGGGACATTCTCCTTTGCAAGTTTCTTTGCAATTTTCTTCTGTAGTTTTTCATCATCAGCTTGAACACTCGACAGCACACGAATCTCTCCCCTAGCTGTATGCAAAATTAACACCAGAAGATCTTACTTTAAATTTCATGTGATACAGAGAGAGGGGGTGCAGTTTTTTCAGAGGGAGGGGACTTTCAAGGGAGTGCACCCTCCCAACAACTAAAGAAATCATCCCCAAAGACACATAAATCCTTTTCTCTAGCTTACCGTCAGTACTTCCTTTGGTCTTGCTGGCTTCTTGCTTTTGAGTTTTTGCCAATCTCTGAGCCTCCTACACCAAGGAAAATACATGGAGATCTGAACAAAGAACCTTACAAGGGTCAGGGCTTCAAATTTGAAGTTCCCAGCAGGATACTAGCAACTTAAAATCTTGTATCCACCCAGAAAATCTGGTATCCACCCAGAAAATCTTGTATCCACCCAGAAAATCTTGTATCCACCCAGAAAATCTTGTATCCACCCAGAAAATCTTGTATCCACCCAGAAAATCTGGTATCCACCCAGAAAATCTAGTATCCACCCAGAAAATCTTGTATCCACCCAGAAAATCTTGTATCCACCCAGAAAATCTTGTATCCACCCAGAAAATCTTGTATCCACCCAGAAAATCTTGTATCCACCCAGAAAATCTTGTATCCACCCAGAAAATCTGGTATCCACCCAGAAAATCTTGTATCCACCCAGAAAATCTTGTATCCACCCAGAAAATCTTGTATCCACCCAGAAAATCTTGTATCCACCCAGAAAATCTTGTATCCACCCAGAAAATCTTGTATCCACCCAGAAAAACTGGTATCCACCCAGAAAATCTTGTATCCACCCAGAAAATCTGGTATCCACCCAGAAAATCTTGTATCCACCCAGAAAATCTAGTATAATTCCACATTTGAATAATAAATTATTTTTGTATTGTCAGTGACCAGAATTTTTTTCAGTATTGCTCAGGATACAGAGTTTGTGATTTCCAGTATCCACATTCTGGTATCACCTGGATTAATCAGGATACCACAAATTTGAAGTCCTGCTGGGTTGCTAGGCATCCCAGTTATCAAAAGTTGTGAATTGGATATAGCAATGTCTGTACCTGTTTAGCCCTTCGTTCTGCCTTCAATTCAGCTTTTGATTTTGTTGATTCATTTGTACTGGCATCCTTCAATGCATCTTTAGCATCTTTTGGTTCTTCTGACGTGGTTTGACCACTTGGAGACTTCCCCTTTGCAGATCGCTGGGCTTCCTTTAGAAATTGGTGAAGCAGTTAGTTTACCCATTAATTAATAAAACCCTTTAAGTGGCAATGTACTCTGATGCACCCTACTTTATTATTTTACATTATTTTTGTATCAGAGAGATGCCCATATCATGCAGAGAGGTGTTTGTATTAGTGAGGTGCCCATATTATAGAGGTGTCTGTAAACGAGATGTCCATAAAAGAGATGCGCATACTCCGTATTAGAGAGCTATAAGAGAAAGGCTCAACTATGTAGACTGTATTGTGTCTTTTAAAATTAAAACATATCTAAATTATTATTTCCCACCTGTTTTGCCCTTCGTTCAGCTTTCAATTCGGCTTTTGTCTTTCCTTCTTTCTGACCTCCTTCAGCTCCCTTCTGCTTCTCTTTACTCGTACCTTGGCTAGGTTTGCCCGTACCTTGGCTAGGTTTGCCTGCTCCTTGACTCGGCTTGCCTGCTCCTTGACCTGGTTTCTCTGCACCTTGACTAGGTTTGCCTGTACCTTGACTAGGTTGTTTATCCATGTTCCGTATTACCAAGCCATCACCTAGAAAGATGAAAAATTGGAAGATCAACACTTGCATAAAAAGCAAGCATTATTTCCATCAATGGATGAACAAATAAAACATTGTCCATTCTCACACAAAACCTTTGTGTCTGTCAAGACCATGTAACAGGTTTTTTAATCCAGGGGCGCCTGAGCCACAGGGGCAACTGCCCCTGTTGCCCAAACAGTTTGGATGGTGCACAGGGACAAAAGTTGCCCTTTTTACCAGAGCTACACTTCGAAATGTGTGCGCTATTCTCAGGAATTGGAATTTATAACAATTTTTAAGCAATGTTAAGCAATTTGCGCTTAATTTTTAACCAGTTGTAGTAAAATCAATGCTAAATCAGGCAATATACGTCCATTTACTGATTTTATTTTCCGCCCTTAGCACAACATTTGCAACCAATAAATTGTTGAAAATTAATGTCAAAGTTTGCCGACCCATAATATCAAGCTGCAAGTAATCGAGTATCCATACAGTAAAGTTTTAAAAAATATTGCCACCCAGAAAAATGATGGCTGAAAGCAAGTGTCCTTTTGAAATGGCTGCCCCCGCCGCTTCACATTGCTTCCGGAGCCCCTGTTTAAATCTGATCAGTCAGTCACATTAACCCATTGAGTCGCATTGTGCCCCGATGCAGCCAACTTTATTATTTTACTCTGTCTATTAAACACCAGATCATTTTATTAATACTCATCAAGGGGAGAGCATTCAATGGGTTTATATACCAGCCTCACACCAACTGTCTGAACAGTATACTTATGAAAAGCATTTATAAACAGTCAACAACTTTAGAAAATAAATTAGACTATTTATAAATGCTACGTCTTCTATAGTAGTTTTATAAAACAAAATATTACGTTTATATATTATTAAAATATTAAAACTTGTGTTTTCTAATAATACTACATTACTACATATACGTAACTCAACGTAAGTGAATAATATAAAACGTGTTTCAAAATGAATATATATTGAAGTGAATATTAAGCGAATTTATTTGATTTGAAAGAAAATTTGAGTAAAGTACCTTCTTAAAACCATTTATAAGGAAAGAAAATACAACAAAATGGCTATTAATATTAAATATGATTGATCAAAGTCATCAAAGACTCGAAATAAAGAAAATGGGATCGCTTAGGATGACTCTTTTACTTAAAGGGGTTCTGTGCCGACTGTGCGGATATTTGGTCGATATTTAGCCTGCGCGATATGGTCAAAAGTTGTTACACAGTTGTCAGACAGAGTTTTAGCCTCGTTTCCAGGCTCGAGTAAAATCGGTGCACATTCTTTGAATTACAAAGCCATGCCTCCAGACATATAATCTACCATGAGTAATATCCTACACTGACAATTGTTTGACAATTTAATTAAATACAATATTGTCACAGACTCAAAATATTTGTATTGTAGTTAATCCAAGGCCTTTCCTTGCTTAAACAATGGGCAGGATGAATTTATCTTCCCTCCTGGCGCTGTTCGAAGTCTCGCCGTGTGGCCGGCCACTTCGCATGGGCATCCGTTTCACTCCCACGACCCACTCAATCTATATCCCCTTTTAATTAAAGAATGGTTTGCACAAACGAGCAGTTATTCCCATTAACTATTGATTGTGCACTGTTGTTTACTAACAACGCAAACTTTAACGATAAAATTTATAAAACAAACTACAAGATTTCTTCCTGAAGTTAACAAAGAAAAAGCGTTAAAAAGCCTTTCTTTGAGGTTGCTGTAAGCATGTTACCCTCTTCTTCGGCGAGTTGTTACAGAAAAACCAAACATCAAATTCATCACTACCTCTGGTTACGATAATAAATGAGCATTTCTCACGAAGGTCAAAATCCACCATTTTGGGGTACTGTCTGCCCTCGTGAAAGATTCTAGACAATTCAAACAACGTGAAAAGCGACTTTTAAAAGTTGTAACTGTAAATTTACCATTATACAAACAAGGCCCAAACAAAACAACTACAATACTAACAAGTTGTATTTCGTGGTGCGGAGACTCTTGAAGTACCCCGAAAATGGCGGAAAGGCTAGCCTAATTCGTGAGAAAGACTAGCCTAATTCTGTAGCAGACTTTAAAGCTAGTTTTAATATCCTATTGAAGACTTTTAGACTAGCGGGATATCGTAATCCTCTGCAGTTATAGAGACAATTCTATAAAATCTTTGACTGTACGTTTGGTGTTAGTTTAGCTAGCAAAGAATTATCAACACGGAGGTCAGTCAGGAAAAACACACACTGTATCAGTTTGTGATAACCTTCAACACATATGACAAAACTTAAAGATAAGGTTTTTTTCGTCCTTACACGAGCGTTAATGCAAAATGCCACCAAAATTAGTTATGCTAATTAGTTTGGGGTGAAGCCGTGTTGAAAAAAACGATAGGTGGGTTTCACTCAACTTAGGGAAACGCTTAATTGTTGGTCGCCTTTACATATATTGCCACTTTATGCCTTGTGGAAGCAAGTAAATTTCATTAAACTTCGTTGGATTCTTTTAAGACAGATCTTAAGACATTTTTGTATAGAGATGCGTACATTAATAACACTTCTTGTTTTTAAATATTTTTAAATAGATGCTTATAGTAGTTAAATGATGTGTAAATAACGTAGGGAAATTTTTAAATTAGCTTCCTATTTTATGTAATTAAGCGCTTTAGAATATTCTATAGTTTTAGCGCGGTACAAATTAATAAATTATTATAAATTATTATATTTGATACTAAACACAAGATCAATACTTATATATATGAATATTTAACTTGATCGGACAAATCGGTGTTTTCATTTGGAGTTGACCACCCAGTGCTAAACGTATCATCACATGACTGAAACATACCAACTGTGAACTTGCGTATCTGATGCAACTATGACTAAAAAAAAGTTTAAAAACTTGAAGCGAGTTGCATCATTTTGTAATTATATATAAGCCCTAATGATGTACTAATACGGAAGCAACCTAAGTCATGGGGTCATTAAGAATTGAGGACACAAGATTTTCATATAAGAAAGACATCTTTGCCAATGTTTTACCTAAAAAAACCCTGGAAGATTGAAGAAAACGTGGGGGCCGGGAGGAACCCCGACCCATGGATGCCAAACTTTTCCGAAGACCAATATATATGATTAAAAATAAGAAAAAATTTCAGAATGAGAGGCCGGAAAGTTTTAGAAAAACTATTAAAATATGTTTCAGCAAAGCCAAACAAGGAACTAAATATGAGAACAATTTCCTTCGTTGATTCCAAATCTTCATTCTTGCCAGCAATATATTTAGCAAGTTATAAATATAAATAGTAAAGTTTCACAAAGAACTGAGTATGAAAACAGTTTCCTCCGTTGATTCCAAATCTTCATTCTTGCCAGCAATATATTTAGCAAGTTATATATATAAATAGTAAAGTTTCATCAGCCAATATTCATGAAAGACTAGAGTCCTGACGTTGCGTTTTTCCCAGTGCCTGTCGACATACTTCATTAGACATTCGTCAGACACGGATATCAAATTGTCGTGAGGAAATCTCTCCGCGGCGTCTGTATGACTACATTTTCGCTGTCTTAGCGCATCTACAAGCATAGGTAGTTGAATCTATAGCACATTTTCATGCACCAGGCGAATTTGTTCGCGCGAAGCGAAAAAAATCTTGCCAATGTGATTGGTTAGCAAAAAAGTCGGATTCGTTCCTTTGAAAAAGTTGGATTAGATCGCCGCGAAAAAGTTGGATCAGTTCCTACTTTTTAGTAGTAGTCACGCGAACAAATTCGCCCAGTGGGAAATTGGCTGACGATTTTCACGTGAAAAGGAGTCTTGTGTGTTAATGATTAGCCATGCATGCTATCTGCCAATGTCTCCTGTTAACTCACTATAACTCACGCCCAAATTAAGGGGCCGATTACATGGAGCATTTTCAACCCCGGGGTTGAACTCAGCCCTGTTAACCGGGTTGAAATTTTTTGCGATTATATGGACGATTTCAACCCCGGGGTTAAAACGTTATACTATACGTTCGCGGCATCGATTCGTGGAAGTAAAAAAAGCCTTTATTTTGTCTTCTTGTAATAAATAGTCACTACCACGTATGCTCGAATAACTCATGATAATTTCAGCCCTGGGTTGAAACGATTACATGACAAAATTTTCAACCCAGGGCTGAGTTCAACCCCGGGGTTGAACTCAGCCCTGGGTTGAAAATTTTGTCATGTAATCGCGCGTTTGATTTTGATAGAGTTTTGTATTACAGACAGGGCTGAAATTTCAACCCGGTAAACAGGGCTGAGTTCAACCCCGGGGTTGAAAATGCTCCATGTAATCGGCCCCTTATGCACCCTAATGTCTAACACGAGACGATTTTGCTCATCAAAGAGAGTCTTAGTGGGCAAAGGGCTCTGAAGGTTTGCTACGTGAAGTTTGTCAAGCACAATATAGATGACGTTGACCAACTTAGAGAAACTCAAAGACTTTTTAATGAAGTAATTTCTTTAAAGAGGTTTACAATCAAAGACTGAACTTCGTGATAATCCATTAGGGAAATGGCTTCGGAGGAGACTAGGAAACTGCGTTATTCGCCCAGCGTGAGAACCAGGATGACTCCTCGCCCGAAGAATCTTAGAGTTGCCATGCATTTTTGAGAAAAGCTTTCTCAAGCGAGCGAACGCCCTCATTTGACTACCTACACTAGCAAAGACTGTTCAAGATTCTTTAGAAAATCCTTTCGAAGAAACGTCCAGATGTTTTTTAAGTTAAATTAATCTGTTTTGCTATCCCAACGGACAGGATTAATTGGAAATCATACTCCTGAATTCGCACGTTTCGTCTTTCGCGCCATCCCACACACGGCACGCGCGTCAGTGAAACCACGTTGACTCCATCCGCATAAACATTTCCAATGGATTATTATATAGTCCACTAAAATATGTATATAATCTCACTAGAAGTTTCCATTTTCGAAAAAACCTTACAACATTTCTTAGTATAACAGGTTTCAAGCTTAGTAGTTGAATATTGCAGCTAGTTGTCAATGATTGATTTCGTAAGGAGATGTTTATCATGTCTCTAAAAAATAGGTCCCATATACTGTTTCTAAACGCATTAAATGATGATCACATTATGCTCTGTACGCTTAGAGTTTAAGGTTTAAATTAACTTTAAAATCTTTTTTGAATTGGCAGATTGGCTGTATACAGGAACTTGCGCAGGGCCTATTCCTGCCCTAGAGTACCATTTTTTGAAACTGCTCCTGGTGTAAAAATCATAAAATTTTCCCTCGCAATTTCCATCTTCGGAAAAGCTTTCAACATTTAGTTCTATCTATAGAGAGAGAAATGCCCAAAATCACGCATTCTATCTATAGCCTGCATAGCCAGCCAACGCTGAAAGCTTTTAAAAAATGCTAGATGCGTGACCAGGATTCCTGATAAAGTTTCTGAAACGTTCTCTGATCGTAAAATTTATTTAAACACGAGCTTTCGATTGCCAGTTGCAGTCTTCGACAAGTAAAGTGTCGAACACTAGACTGCCAGTCGAAAGCTTGTGTTTAAATAAATTTTACGCCCCAGAGAACGTTTCAGAAGCTGAAAAGCTAGTCAAAACTTTCGTTGAACACATATAGAACGTGCAGCTTTTGTACAACGCCCACTCCCAATAACACTTTCGTAATACTATATTCTTTTGAAACAGCTGTTACTCGATCTAATACCTGCGTCAAGATGCGAGCAGCCTCACGTTTCACTGAATTATACTACGCACCTCACATGGTTTGCGTGATGCATTCGAGTGTAATTATCCGATTAACACTTGGAAATAAATTCGCCTACGGGGGTTACGGGCTTGGAAAGTAAAAGAGACACGTTGCAACTTTTGAAAACTTTACATTGACCCACGATGAAGACACACACACACATATATATATTTTTATATAAGATTAGAAGACAAACTTGAGTTACTTCATATGAACTTTATTTCAGTACAAATTTGTTTCTTATGACAAGACGAGGCTTGCCAATCACTCATCAGGTGAATTTAAATAACGCGCTACGATAGTAATTGAGCACTCTACTCATATATGATTCCAAACTCTATTACGCTCTATCTATATGGTATTGAGCACTGTTTGTGTTTCGTAAACCAAAATCTTAAGCTATATATATATATATATTGTTTCGTAAACCAAAATCTTAAGCTATATATATATATATATATATATATATATATATATATATATATATATATATATATATATATATATATATATATATATATATATATATATATAACCACTATACATTTTAACCCTTCATGCTTCAAATTTGTAAATATATTGTACACCATAAACTTTTCTTTTGCATGATTATTTCTATTTGATATAAATTACAAAATAATCTGTATATAAATTATAATAAAATAATCTATAATAACTATATAGGAACATGACTATAGTGGCTCAGATACAAAAGCCTTGCGAAGGTTTCTAGTAGATCTACTCTCTAGGCCAAATATTTTTTTTTTATTCTAGGGGAAATTAATTAAGAAAAAAAAAGCACTATAGAATATAGCGTGCTAAGGCCTTGTCGAAACGCCGAAGTAGTTGTTCTTATTTTTCAGATATAGTTTTATAATTCACACAAGTCGGGTAACATATTATACTCTACTAAATTAGGATTTACAACTACCTAAAAAATACAAGGAGAACTTTGGCGTTTCGAACGAATTAAAGCCCTTCGTCTGCAAGTGAATTGTTTGGCCCCAAGAAGGGTCTTCCGTGAAAGGTCACAGCTCTGCTTATATGGTAGTCGTATATATATCCGTAAAACATCGGCTTTCTTGGCTACTTGGAACCTAACACCCAGAAATAGAAACACGATTTTAATATTTCAGAAGGCTGCCCCATCCCACTTCACTCTGTTGTGGGGGAAGCTCTTTCTGGCCGAATTAGGTCATTTAAATACAGGAAAATTACGCAATTTTTCTCGCTAAATTGAACGGATGCAGTTTTTCGAATACAATAGAAAATAGCCGAGTCAAATGTCTGGTCAAAGTCCGAGTATGTATAGAGAATAGCCTGAATAGAGTGGATTTTAAGGAAGCTTAATTTATAGGTTAGGTTATGACTCATCTTCAGAAATATTGTCATTGACATTGATAGAAGCAAGACAACTATCGATCTCTTGATTTGATTTACAATTTTACATACTGCCCGATATATACAAGACTACTCCATATATAGAAAAGAATGAACATTATTTTCTCAACTCTGATAACTGCAGGTTGACCAGCATGCTGGATGATATAATGCTTAGTGAAACCCAGGGGGTCGAGCTAATACAATATTTTAAAAAAACACCACTCTAGCAATTACCGAGAAACGAAAATGATGGATTATGCGACTCCCACCATGAGTACAACACACGGTGCTTGGTAACGCTTTGCCGAAACCAATACTTAGAACATTTTTATTCAACTCCAGGAATTGAGAAACGATAGAACGTTGAAATGTGGTGTTGTGTTTCGCACGCGTTTTCAATTTCAAGCTGCACTTTCCGGTCACGCTTTGATGATACTGGCATGACGTCATACGCGTTATAAAGACAGCGGATCACACGCTCGTGTCATATTGAGAGTTTGTTGTCGTGGAAGGAAGGTTGAAGGCTACAGAGGCTTATAAATTGAACATAAAGAAGAGTATAAGACAAGAATCTATCTGTTAAAGAGTTGAGAATAACAGGAGAACAATGCGGGACATTCGGAAAACGCTTTCGGCGAGTATTGAGCATCTACATGATCTTATGTTTGATCGAGATGAAGTAGACTCGATACCGCTCGGCGCGGACTATACGGGAGTTATCTACCGTGAAGGTTATCTATTCAAACAAAGTCGCTCGATGCGAAAATTTTGGAAAACAAGATACTTTGTACTGCGGAACGATGGTCTGTTATATTTTCGCAGTATCAATGAAAAGGACGGTGCACCACTCGGAATCATTCCTCTCACAAGACTCAGTGTACATATTGACAGTATTGATACGAAGAGTAAACCTAAATTTTGTCTACGCTTGACAAGCAGGCATTTCTACTTTAAGACATTCTGTCTGTGTTGTTTTTCAAATGAAGAAAGAAACAGTTGGCTGACTGCGTTGCTAACAGCGATATCTGAGGACTTAGTGTCCAGTTTCACACTCAGCAAGTTTCGCGAGGAGAGAACTTTATCTGTGTCCAGCACTGATTCAGGAGTTTCTGAAGTGAATTCAACACCCACTGCCTCGCCGGGTGCGACTTTGAACAATAACACTGCGTGTAGCATGTCCAGAACTGGCTCATGCGACATGGGCGCCTTGTTTCATGCAACAGACATTAATACGGACACGTTGGCCGAGCGCAGACCTTCGCGGAGTCTCGGTAGTTTAACTGAGCTTAACAAGGTCGACACGACCGATGCATTGCCCAAAAAGACGAAGAAACAATCGTCGACTAGTCGACTACGAAAGCTCAAAACTCTGTCATCGTTTGAATTTAAAAACGTGCGAGGCAGCTACATTGATTTATCGTTTATTGGTAGCTCATGAACTTGACACATTTGGTGACTCACTGCTCAGAGACAATGTACAAACCAGTGTTGCTAGGTATTGCGTATACGGATTATCCGTTGCCAAGGCATTAATAGACAATCTATTATGCCATGAACATAATGCACATTTATGATTTATGACTGTAGATTTTATATACTCAGTTTTATGAGCAAGTACATTAGTTGAAATTGAACATTTAGCGCTGTTCATATTGAAATTTGATATTAATATATATATATATATATATTAAGCTATCCTTATATAGCATTGTACAAAGATATAAGATAAAATAAATAATATATTTCCTGTGAAGATAACTTAAGATTTATATAGCCACGTAGCCATGCTGCGATGGTACACCTAAGTTATTATTAAATATTTTTAACTGCATTTTTGTGTGACTGTCTAATAGCGAGTTGACCAACCATCTGCTATCCATAAAGACTGGTTTAAACCACTGATCTAATACTATAGACAGTGGTTTACACTATTAAAGTTTCTGTGATCACAGTAGGAATTTTGCATAGGTAAATTCTAAATTTTGAAGGGTTTATAAGAAATGTTTGAAGAGGGAACTGATTTAGCGTGAAACACTGCATCTGTTCCCCTAAATTCCTACTGTGATCACAGAAACTTTGATAGTGTATACAGATTCCAGGGTGTATAAAAAAAATGTACAACCTTTCAAATTAACCGTAAATCTATTGTAGTAATTTGACAGCCGTATACTTTCTCGAATTAATCATATGTTTTGTTTTACAAGCGGGGCGACAGTGGTATGCTTCTCTCCTCCGCAGAGGCTTTTAAAGGAATGCCTCGATCGGCGGAGGAGGTATGCGATAATTATTATCTCTGATGTCAAACAAATCAAGACAAAATGTCTGTCAGTCAAACAATGAACGGAAGATTAAGCATTGCGATATTAACTCGATACTCATCGGTGAATTTTAAGCAATTTCCGATTAGCCTGACAGACAAAACAATCAAACAAAGTTATACACGTATTAGACGTATAACCACAAAATATAAACAATTTAAATTGCTATTCTGTGGTATATAACGGTAGCCTCTCCTATATGTAAATGAGAAAATGAATAGAAAACATACGTCAATGTTATGACCCCGAGCCCCGAGCAATGTCAGTACGTAGTAAGCAGATTTTTGTATTTTCCAGCGTCATACTCAACTTTGCGGTGTTCAAAATTTTTACCAAATTTCCCCCCAGTATGGTTTGATAAAAATCCTTGGTGACAATATACACTCCACCATGCATGAAGACCTCGTGCTTGATCAATATATTAATGTATTCAATCGAACCGAAGGTTACTGAGACTTTTAGATTGTAAAGAGACAGTGTAAGTATATTAAATATATTAGTTTGAGTAAGTATCTTTGCTTAATGATGGTCAATTTTTTTCGTCAAAAATAATAGTATATCATCATGGATTCGAGAATGCAACTTGGTTGAGTATAGGTTGTTTCTCCATCGTGAGAAAAGTCAAGACGATTTTACGTGGAACAAATAGCTTTCAGTTTTTTCATGTATTTTAACAAGAAATTTACATAATATTTAACGGAATTCGCAAAACAATCTTTCGATACGACAATAAAACGTTCGTCTTACGTTTTTGCGCCCGCGGTCCTTGTCTTTTGCGGTCGCATTCCTGATCTCTATTTTTAACTGGATGCTGTCATAAGGACAGAAACATAGGTTATATTAACAAGCTTTCGTTGGGAGGAATTCAACTACCTGAAAAATATAAGGAGAATTTCGGCGTTTTGAGCGAATGCCCTTCGTATGCATGCAGTTACTGGCCAGCTACTATATAGATACAAGCCAAGAAAACTAACTAATTTCCTATGTTCCTGCCGGCATGTAATTAGCAGGTCTTGTAGAGTCTATACAGAGTTTCATTAATTGCTTTTGGCATCACTATCACACAAGATACAGATCAGACTCGAATTTTTATCAAAAAATTACTAAATCAGTAAAAAAATTCATTACTAAAATTTTCCCCAAATTGTCGAAATTTTACCGAAAGTAATTTATCTTACCAAATCTGGTCACACTAAATATTGTTCCGGCAGGAACCGGTACAAATTATGCAACCAACTACACTGTGGTGAATAATGTCGATGAGAATATTGAAACATAGTTAATTTCCGATGTTACCATAATACTATTGTTTTGTACACTCCTTGAGCCTCCCACAAGTTTCGAACCCAGACATGAGTTATATTGTGATTCAAATCTGCGACACTTCCAATTTCTTGACAAAATGTCGTAATACTATCGTAAATTTAGAAAACCTCCCCCTTTCCCCCACCATTCAATGTTGATTGCATTCGTAGAAAACGGATAAAACGTCCAACATTGTTTTGGGGGGTGGAGGGGGGCAAACGAGTAAATTATTCCGGTCTAACTGGTAAAAAAAGCCACAAAGGAATGTTTTAATAGAGTGTCGCAGATGGTTTTGTCCAGGATTGTAGATATCAATACGAGTGCTTGCATTGTTTTCAATTTTAACTGATGTTAAATAGTCTACCTTGTCTGTTGTGTGCAGAATGTAACCGTCTTTTAATGATTGTAGAGATTTATCCACACTCTAGATGCAGAACCGATATATTGACAGACTGACAGTGTCTGGGTCTAGCTAATTGTCTTTTGTGTGTTCACAGATTTCAACTGTGGTGTGTTTCTAAGTCTGGTTTTCATACGGTCGTAAAGATTGAGTCACACGATCTTTCTCATCAGCCGAAATACAACATTTTAGAACTGAAAATACGTAGAGTGATTAAAACTAGAGAATACTTATCATTTATATGTGGTTTACAAGTATAAACTATTATAAACTATAGCCGTTGAAAAGGTCGTCACTCGATTTTCAAGACCATTATGACCATATGGAAACCATATATCGACACTATTACATTACAAGCAAAATAGTCTGGATCCAGTATATGGATGGTACTATAGCCTATACTAGTGAACGATTCATCCTCTGATTGATCATATATAGGTACTGAGGTACAGGCTTACAGCATAATTCCGCAATCTCCTTTTTGGGAAAATATACCATCTAGTTACATTTCAATCCTATACATTACAGAATCATGACCAACTTGAAAGTTAGTATATAATATATTCTGGGTAATCGTTCCATGTTTCACGCACCAATATAGTAAACGTTATGTAATCGATATTATCACTATAATACTGAAAAGTTCACTAGATACCTCTATACACATATATACACACCCTAACCCTAACCCTAACCCCTAACCCTAACCTATATTGGTGCGCGAAACATGGAATGATAACCATATTCGGCACCAGCATGACACATGCCGAAATAAATACAGCTGTCTTGGTCACGTAGTCAGCCTATTCCTGGCGCAATAATTCGCGTTCTTACGTACCGGCGTTACGCTAATATCACGGTTTAGTAATTCTTTGTTTTTAGTCAAGTACCGTTTAGGTTTGCGGTAATCTCTTTAGTCTTACACTTTATTGGCAACGTATAACCAACAAACTTTCCAAACCCAAAGTATTCAAATCCCTCAGTAAAGTATAGCTATATATATATATGAATCCGACATAGATGTCTTTGCACGGGAAACATGATTGGATTGGATGAAGACTAAAATATAAGGGCCTTCACTCAAAAATCCAAATGTTTATCAGAGAGCTTTTTATTTAACTACGAGCACGAGATTTGTTATTTCGATATGCTATATTTTTGTACGACATCTGGAATACGCTATCATATAAGTCATGACCAAATTTAAAATATGATAGAACGGATATTTAATATTTATGCAATGACAATATTGATCATGACAAGAACGGCCTACAGATCTACTACGAGAATATGCATGGCGTGTGTACGTAATGGCGTAAGAATGGGCAAACAACGAATCATTATCACGTAGTCGTTCACGCAGTAAAATCTAAAGCTCTGTATTTTCAGGTATTTTCAAGAGGTTACAACCATCAACTACTTGTTGCCAACACAAGTCACGACGAAGTACCATTTGTCACCTGACGGCACACCTAATCTGAGTGCATATTAAGTTGTACAAAGTACAAAAACATCAGATATCAGGTATTTTCCCATTTGAACCCACAATAGATAACTTAATAAACGTTTGAATTTCCTTGACCAGCGAGGTGCATCTCCTCGAGGCATGTTTCCCCCAATGACATCCACAGTTCCACTAATACGTCAAAGGTACTTAGAGTCATTATAGAATTGACGACATCATACCATCATGCGTACGTATTCTGATCACATGCATCAACACACCGAGTAATTTAACAAAACATTTTAAGGGAAAAAAAATTAATACTGAGGGAGTAATTGTGAACCCACTCACCTAATAATAGCAGACAGTGAGTGAACCCCTGAAGATTCTTTTCTTATATCGTACATAGAATTAGGAATTTATTAGTCCAAACACGTCACAGGAAGAACTATCCTTTCAGGGAGTTTCAGACAATGTTTTCAATAGAAGGCGGTCATCAGCCATTAGACCTCTTACGGCCTCTTTGTATATTGGCAAAATTTGCATTTCATCTGAACATTTTTAGCACATACGCTGCATGCTATACAATTTTGATTAAGTTATAGAGCAGTGGTCTACATAGGAGTCAGTAAAGATAAGCATGAATCCCGCTGCTGGAGACAACGATTTTTTCTCACAATTTTTTACAAGTGACCAGAACCACGATATGTTTTACTATAGTATAAAAAGACAGAGACTCAGTTGGCAGAGCATTGGGCTAGAATTCCAAAGGTCGTAGGTTCGATTCCCACCGTGGCCAGGGATATTTTTCAAGCTTGCCCGCTGTGGATATACACTCAGAGTAACATCACAAGCAACATATTCACCCGAGTACAATTACACCAACACAGAAAAATCAAGGCAATAATATGATAAATATGAAATAAAGTCGTCTTAAAGAACGAGTCATAAACACTGACATTACACTGATCACTGTTGTCTTATATACAGTCAATCACAAAACATGATCATTTGAGGTTCGTATTTACTCGCATACACTGGAGAAAAATTCCGGCGACTTAAAAACCCGAGTAATAAACCCACACGAGTAAAATATCGAGTGAATCTGAGCAATGTATATAACATTTGAATAATTTTACTCAAAATTTTGAGCCAAATTGTGGGCGCATTATTTTACTCAAGTTTTTCTGTCAGAATACTCAGGAATTTTTTGCTGTGTATTTTTACTGAGAAGTTTGAACTTCCTTAAAAAATATTCCTAGTAAAACATCTTCCAGTACCGATATGTCAAAAGCCTTAAGCCTATATGGACATAGTACGTCAACGGAACTTTAAAATAAAACACGAAGGCGAAGAAACCCAGCTGAGTTTTAGACAATGTTTGACTTTGAGATTATAAACAACTATTTCCTAAACTGAGGCGTAAGCCCTGCCCGTGGCCAGCAAATATTTACACAAAATATAGACAGACGATGACGACAACGGATGATTAAATCATTTCAGGATTGCGCAGGTGGGCTTGTTTCAAGAGAATTTGGGAGGATATTATGACATTTCATAAAACAGACCTTCGCCCTTGCCGTCGACCCGCGAATTTTAGGGCGGGCGAAACGTAGGTCTGTTTTCAGGCTAAGGCATTCCACTCCATAAAACATTACTTGTACCATTAAAACATGTTATCATATTAAACATCGTTATCATCGAGCAGATAGATTTCTGCCTAATTTAGATCATTCTGATTTCTGAAGTGACATTTAGCGAGTAAAAGAAATGTTATCGCTATTATTACGGATAGTTCTTTATATTATGCAGATCTAAAGTGGTTTTAGTCGTAGGGTTCACAATATAAACTTTATATATCGAATTATAGCCTGCGTAACAGTGGCTAAAAAATACTCAAAACCTTAAAAAAATAAAATACTGCTATTATATAAGCAGGCTAATCGAATAGAAGCTAATGGCGCGTCCTGTTGCCCTCTGCATGTAAAACTCAACGTTCTGTGATCTCTGAATTGGTGCTGACATGCGATACATTGCTCTGTGACAATTATATTTGCTAACAGGCCCTAGTGCATAGATCTGCTCGCAGCCTGAAATTTATGGTAATATATGTATTGTTACAGATTATATAATCTCTATCAACATGTTTAGACCTTGTATTGAAAAGACAGTAATAAAACTTTGTAGTAAGTAAGGGCCATGCTTTAAAGAAAACGCCAAGAAAATCGGCGATATTAAATTCGAATCTTCTGACATACATGTGAAGTGAAATTACAATCATCCATATGTCGTCATGTTTCCCATATTGAAAACGACGTAATGTCATATGATGCAATTTTGATTAAGATCATGTGGCTAATTTCTAACAAGCTGACTGCATGTGTACAACTCTCAGGCCAGGAAAGTCGAAATATCCTGTATCACTACAGGAAACCTTGTCTTATGAAACATTGCATTAGATGTCAATGGTACTATAAAATCTTATTTCACAATATGATCACATCAGCATGATGAAATTTCCCCTGGTTATAACTCAGCTGATGAAAATACCAGCTCAGTCTATCTATGAAGCAAACTTGCGCAAGGTGGTCATGCGCAAGTATGATTAATGCAGACTGTTGTGTAAAGGAATAGCCAAGGATTTTTGGAGTTGTTATCCAGTATATAACTCGCTCCCTCCATGTCTATGTTAATATGTTATAGCTAATAGAAATTTTAATAAACTAATACCAAAGTGGCAAAGTACATCATTTATGATTCTACTTATGTTTCGAGCTGTCAAGCTAGAAAAAATGACAGTGCCCATCATGGATTTCATAATAAATTATTGAATATTGCTCATTTTCTAACTACATGAATATAAATAACTTTTTATTACAGCCTTTTGCATGAAAAAGTTCCTTGAACAGTTTATCTGGTCTCACTCTTATCAAACACACAGAGTACTGGACTATATATATCAGCCATGTATTCGTAATAAATTCATTGAATACTGCTCATTTTCTAACTGTATATGAATATAAATAACTGTTTTATCCATCTGCATGACTTAATCCAACAAACATACTGGTTTTATGGTTTATAATGGAAAAATTGACTAAACTCTATGTTGAAATAGTCAGCCATGTGTTTCGTAATAAATTCATTGAATACTGTTCATTTTCTAACTGTATATGAATATAAATAACTGTTTTATTCCAGCCACCGCATGACTTAATTCAAAAACATACTTGGGCAATGGAAAATTAACTAATTAAATCTATGTTGAAATAGTCAGCGATGTGTTTCGTAATAAATTCATTGAATATTGCTCATTTTCTAACTGCATGGATATGAATAACTGTTTTATTACAGCCATCTGCATGACTTAATCCAACAAACATACTTGGTTTATAATGGAAAAATTGACTAAACTCTATGTTGAAATAACCAGCCAAAGGCAAAAAGTGTCGTAATGCATAAACTGTGAATTATTATCTCACTCGGCATGCATGAATATGATATAACAAGATCACAAGATCACAACTCTTTCATTAAACTACACGACATCAACTCTCTAACAAAAATACTTTGCTAATTATGGTTAATTCAAACAAGTTTCATATCACTTATCACTTGGATACGGTACGACACTCGCCCACGCGGGAGGGAAGGTATCGATCACAAGACTAACGTCTCAATTCTTAAAATAGTATATGAAATTTTTATAAACCGCGTAATAATTATATACTCGTTTCTTTAATGATCATGTTTTTACTGTCAAAAATGCCCTAGTTTTAACTTTTATGTTAAAAAGTGAAGTGAAGGCTTATATTATAAGATCTTTGAAGTCGCCCACGTTCAAAGATTGTTCTAATGCCTATCACCTTGTGTTCTAATCAAATTATCAAGACACCATTGTAAGGCATTGTTCCACCCTATATAATCAGGAGTTATGGTAACAATTTAGTATATTTTCACAGTAAAAATGAGACACACACTATGTACAGTCTGCGTTTCGTCCCAATGTAATAAGTGAACCACAAGCCATATACGATCTTGAGTTTCGTTAGTTGGTGTAGATGTCATGACAACCTTTACATGGCAGTACAGCAGAACGTTCCCTTGCGATGGAATTATTTCAATTATTTATTATTAGGCAAGCAGTTACCACAAGAAGTCTTCACGCCAGTCTGCGCACTAGATTATTTACAATGTATTTCGTATTTTATAGGTATTTTAGTATAATATACGCGGTTATAGTTGTGGGTATATGCAATCTAATCTGAACCTTACCAGAGGATTAAAAAAATCAGTTGCGCAAAAGAGTTCCATGATTGCATGCCTTCACTAATATTCCGGCACAGTGAATGTTGATAAGCGCAAGAAATCTTACAGCTGAACCATATTAGCGTCTTATTCCAGTGAAAAAGAAACTTTACCAAAGAGCCAGATAGACGGTGCGGTCAAAATGATCACATTTGAAATAGAGTTTCCATAGAAAATTAAGTTTACAATTGGTGTTAGCGAGAATCATTCTGAAACTAGATCGAAATAGAACGATACTATCGTCTCGAAGCCGAAGGTATTTAGTCAGAATCGTCGATTGCGCGACTGTATTTTAATAGCCGTAACAGAATAAAACTATTTCAATCCCCCTACCACTGTGATGTAAGCCGACTATAATACCACGAGGTTAAACTGCATGGTATGTTGGGCCAGTTAGGAAAACGACCGAAAATCCTCAAACAGGACAGAAAAATTGCCTCGTAATAATTTCATAATCCCTCTTACCTAATAGAGCGTAGACGATGCTTGCGATAACGACGTATACACCGGCTAAAGACGTCTGACCACCCACTCACTTTCTCTGACTTCATTAGCCGTCTGGGGGCGAGGGGTATTGTCCACGCGTATGTTCATTAACGTATCTTGTGGGCGTACGGTATTTGCTGAGTAACACCCTAAATAATCCAAACATTAACACATGGTCATTTTTAAAATACAAACTTTAATTTTGGCTTTATTCATACAGGATAGTTGTATCAGTTCTAAACTGTTCTTCCTAGAAGTCCAGTAAGGATCATCTCTTATTGATCCAGTGTTACTACAGGAGGAAACCTAAACTAAACTAATTATTTATACTGGATAACTATATTGGATAGTTATATTGGATAGCTTTATCCCTAGAGATCTATTGTTACTGCAGAAAGAAACCAAAGTAGCTAGAGGAAAGTGGTAGTGGTAAGCCCTGAACTTCTAGTCAGAGATTTACTTGTGTCAACCGAAGATAAAGCTCTACAGCTCAAATCTCGATAACGAAAACGAGGCACAGAGTATAATACCAAGGTTTAGAATTTATTCTGGATATTGAATGAATGAACGAATGAAGAAAATATTTAATCAGGTATGTCAGATTCAGCATAGCTGGTTTAAACAGATATTAAAAAGTCCACATCACCAAACATTGTCTGGCAAACATATTAAATTTATTTAGATTATTACATACAACAAAATAACAAATTAATTTACAAATTAGAAAGCCGCTAATTAAAATGGATTCAACTTCCTGACAAATAAAAGTAACACTTCAATCTATTATATCAAATATATATATTCAATCTGTTATTCTTCAATCTATTGGTGGTGTAGCCAGCCTGACAATGGGTCATTCCAGAAAACATCCATACCACCCCCATGGAGGAAATAGGAAGTTAACCCCCCTACCCCCTTCGGATGTCCTAATACATTTACTATTATCAGAAACAATTTTTTCTCCCCTCCCCCTCCGGATGGCAGAAATTTCCTCTGTGGGGGGAGTGTGGATCTTTTCTGGAATGACCCAATTTGGTCCCGCTATGCAAATTCAAAATTATTATCATTATTCATTTCTTTAGAAATTGATTGTTTTCACGGTCTATATTTGCATAGCGGGACTAAATCATCGGGCTGGCTACGCTACTGCTTCAATGTATTGAGGGAAGGCCCTTCGTCACACAACTGTATATTGCAGGAATTAAATCACACAGGTCACAGAGGTGAAACTACTATACCATTGAGACCCCAATATAATCACAGCAACTTTACATAGCAACACTATGATCCATGGCTGGATTTTGAGGGGAGGTGGGGGAAGGTGCACACCTCCCCTCAAAACATTTTGCACCTCCCCTTGGGAATGGAGGTTAAAATTTGACAAATTTCTTTGTGTTTGTAAGAATGTTTTTCAAAAGAAACTTTGTAGTAATGTGTTGAATGACAAAATTGGATGAGTTGTACAATGGGTCATTCCAGAAAACATCTATACCACCCCCACAGAGGAAATGGGAAGTTAACCCCCCTACCCCCTTCAGATGTCCTGGCTAATACATTTACTATTATCAGAAACAATTTTTTCTCCCCTCCCCCTCCGGAAGGGCAGAAATTTCCTCCGTGGGGGAGAATGGATCTTTTCTGGAACGACCCAATCATAATGAATGTGCATATGTCACATAGTTGACTTTATGGGGGGGGGGGGTACATTCTAAGCCCTAACATTCCAAAACCAGCCTTGCTAAGATCTATACCTATCATGTACTATGAGTTGTTCATATGGCCCAGATGCATAACCATAAACCTTCCAATCACTGTCTTCCATGTATAAACAACTTGGATCTCTATGTTGTAGCAAACCCCATTTCTTAGACAGTAACGACAACACTGATTGATCATGACGATGTCCGATAAAGCCTTCGTGGTTCTGTCCACCTAACACATTAGCATCGCCAGTCACACAACGAGCGTCTGACGAATATGCAAGCCATTCCATAACAAACTGCAACGTTTTACAATCTTTCCGTAACACAACAAATGATGCTAGGGTCTGATAACTAACTTGAATAAACTCTGGGTAATTCATTTGCATAATACGGAATGTATCAGATTTTGTGTAATACTTCTCTAGAAGTTGTAACGTAAACACGACTATGCCTTGCGGCGATTCATGAGCAAGTTTAAGTACAGGCCCTGCATCTTTTCTCAAATAACTCCCAGCATCTTCATACATTACAACATCCCCAAACGACATATCTTCGATAAGCGTTTTAAGTATAAGGTGTGGCTTCCACAGCCAATACCCAGCGCCCTTCCGGCGAAAAAGGACATCCCTATGAGCCCGCCTGAATCCAGGCTTAACCGAACACATATCATGGGCGATTGCAGCATCGAAGCCGCCCACCTCCAGTGCATGCTTGAGGGCACGTTTCTTTGAGATCTCACAACAACTTTCAGCAAATGTTAGAAAGTATTTCTTAAATGGTAAACTCTTGGCAGAAACATTATAGTATTTTGCCAAATCCATAGTTTCTCGACTGTTGGCTTGCTCCCATGGATAATTCCATCGAAAGAATGTTTTGGCATAGGAACTGAGGTCTGCTGCTTCCTTAAATTTCCATCTAGTGTCAGAAGTTTCAAAAGGTAGTTGAATTTTCTCGCCATTCAGCATAGACGCCGCGATATCAACCAGGTGTTGACATTGTTCAGACATAACTTTGTCCCTTCGAGGAGGCAAACTCACATATTTTTGCGCCCCACATCGTCTTTCGATGAAAAATTCTCGTACAAACGCTAGATTTAAACTCAATTTGTATAAAGCGAAGATAATAACGAATTCTACTAGAAGTAGAACCACAATAGACCGTGGTCTTCGCATTGTTGTTGGAGAACATTTTGACAATATATTTGTAACTTTCATCGTTTCTTCTTGTCAGTTGTCCCAAACTCTGGTCCCAAACACAGAGTGATTACATAACTATGTGACTAGCATGTACATATAACATAATAGTATAAATTTTTTAAAACATTTTTGTAATCGAGTGTTGAAAGTACTTGAAAACAATGAAAAGTTACAGTACTTGAAAAGCCCTTTGAAATTACTGTGTCTCAGACCCCGCGCCGTCACATAATGGCGGCAATTTCTAAATTTTTCTTTCCAGACTTTGCCTTTCTTTACAATATGAATTGTATTTGAATTATATTTCAGTTAATAAACTATTACACCTTCTACGTACAAATATGAGTTTAGAACAACGAAATAGAGTTAAATAAAGTTTTTTTAGACGAGAGTACAACGTGTTTCAATCAGCAAGATTAAAGTCCAATTTGCAAGCCAATAAACTACATATTTATACGGATAAAATACAAATAAATGTATACTGCTTACCAGTTACAAGTCTGCTACACTTTTAGTGGATTTTGAACAAACCATTTGCAATTTATCGTTGAATATTTCAAGATTTTTTCGGGACATTCTTGAAATAATTTTGTAGGAAAAATTATCCAGGAGAGCGAACTCAGCGAAGGGAATTCTTTAACCAATCAGAAACGAGAATACGACTGGCAAGGGGGAGGAAGCGAATTATGCAATAAGACCGGGGGGAGCTTGCAAGTTATTATAAAAAAGTTTTGAAGTGAAGTCACTAAAGATTTTCACGGTAAAACTCGGGGCAATTTGTGAATCACTACTGTATTAGCATGCATTACTCTTTATCAATTGGTTTCAAGTGTTTGGCAACAGTTTGTAAAATGTCTTTGGTTTTCTTTCGCCAGTTTTTAACAGCTTTAGAGCTGGCGCACCACGTCTCCCCATGATGAGGTTCTGCAGCTTCACACCGCTTCACGACATGTTCTTGTTGGCTCTGAGGAGAAACAAAAAGTTTCATGACTTCATTATTAGCTTTGGAGAAATACAATTACAAGATAATGCATGGGTAAATCATACAGATTCACTGCTGAGTTAAGCATGGTTAGATCATACAGATGTTGTACAGAACTCATTGCCGAGTTTAGCACAGTAAATATATCATGCAGAGCCGGTAGTAGATGTTTTTTAATGTGGGCTACCTTAAAGAGATCTGATGTTGTACAGAAATCACTGCTGAGTAAAACATGGTTAGATCATGTAGAGGTAGTACATGTCCTTGAATGTGAGCTACCTTAAAGTGATCTGATGTTGTACAGAACTCATTGCTGAGCTAAGCATTGTTAGATCATGCAGAGGTAGTACATGTTCTTGAATGTGAGCTACCTTGAAGTGATCTGATGTTGTACAGAACTCACTGCTGAGTTAAGCATGGTTAGATCATACAGAGGTAGTACATGTTCTTAAATGTGAACTATCTTAAAGTGGTCTGATGTTGTACAGAACTCACTGCTGAGTTAAGCATGGTTAGATCATGAAGGGGTAGTACATGTTCTTAAATGTGAACTATCTTTAAGTGATCTGATGTTGTACAGAACTCGCTGCTCATTTTATAAGCATTGCTAGACCATGCAGAGGTACAGTAATGCATGTTCTTGAATGTTGATTATAAAATGCAGAAATTGAAAAATAATGAACCAACCTCTGTGCCATGTTGCAACTCAAATTTATAAAAGTAAGCCCACGTGTCCCCGAGATCAGGGTCCAGCTTGACCGCTCTGTTGAACCATTCTCTTGCTTTTGTCACTTTTCGTTCACTCCAGAACAACTTTGCGACAGCGAGAAGAACGTGTGGATCGTGTTCGCATCGTTTTAAAGCGTCCACACTCTTAGTTTTCCTTTGAGGCCTCGCTTCCATGAATATTGCTTCGGCCCAAAGGATTCCTGCTGTTGGACATTCTTGTATTGCTGAAAGAAAAGTTGATATGGTGTTGTGTAGGACAGAAGAATGTCAGCCTGCGAGGGACAGGATTGGTTGAACTGAACTAGAGCTTGCTCACAGGCTAGACGAAATCTGGTGGGTTTTATACAGGGTTCGCAGTTTCCAAGATCAAAAATATTCAAATGACTTTCAAAGATTTCTTCTGCCTATTTTCAAAGACTTTTCAAACACCTTTGAGAGCAATAAGCTGTCGAAAAATTGCGAGTGAAAGCACCATTTTTACCCGGTAATTAGTCCCGTCAAATCACATCCTAAAATGCAGCTTTTCATCGATATGCGTGAAAATCTTATTTTATTAGCTAGGAAATCGTATAATCAAATACCCACTAAAGAATTTAAAGACTTTTAGTTTTAAAGACTTTCTTTGCTTTTTCACACAATTCAAAGACTTTTCAAAGACCTTAAAGACCTGAATTCAAATTTATAGACTTTCAAGGATTTCAAAGACCGCTACGAACCCTGTTACATGTGAACGTTATGGAGGATGAGAAAGTAGTCAATTTCAGAATGGTTAATACTTATAGAAGCACCAAATGACATCTCTCAATTCTAACCTTTTGCCATTAATGATTTAGCGAACTCTTTATTTTCTCCCCGTGTTTCAATCCTGACGGCTTCTAACCATAATTCTGGACACTTTGGGTTTCGCTGCCTCGCCTGCTCGAGCACTGATCTCGCCTTGGTCGAGAAACCTGGACCAATGTTAATATTTTGTTCATTACTGAACGAGACCAATAAGTGAGTCCGAGTTCAAGGAAGTGGAAGTGTAATCATCATTGGGCCATTTCAATATGTGTACCCCCCCCCCCCCTATTGAAGGGTCTGGATATCCAATAAAAGAGGAGGGGGTCTTCATCTTAAATTTTCCTAGAGGATATCTGGAGAGGTTTTAAAAATGGCAGAAAATTCGGTGTTTTAGTGATATCCAAGAGGGAAGAAGCGATATCCTAAAGGGGTTAGTAAGATATCCTCTGGGGTAACTTCCACAAATTGCATTCAAGGGGCTCCAAAATTTTTTATATCCGAAGGACATTATGAAGGGACCCCTCAATAGTGGGGGGGGGGGTGCCTATATTAAATTGAATGGCCCATTACTCATCCTTACTTGAGTTGAGCTGAATTACGAAGGATGCAGCTCAAACTGATCAAGTCGAAGGCTTTCTAAGGGCGCCTCAAATGAGGCTTTTTATTTTGTGTTCCTTCTCCTCCAAAAAGAGGGAACATGGTTTTACCTGCTTTCTCCTCGACCCTTGATCTCAAAATCCACAGAGATATCGACGTTGGACACTTTTTAACCTGAAAACATAGAAAATCTTGGCATTGCCCAACAGGAAAATTACCATGGTTGTGTGGAGAGTCGAAGTTTACTCATTAGGGCATGTGTTTTTCATCTTTGTGAGTGAGGTTTCATTCTGCAATATGCAGTAGTTTATTTTAAACAGCATATCCTACCCCTTGTTTATACGTCTCCCTGGCTTCTTCTTCGTTATTCTCTTGTTCAAAAATGTGTCCTTTCATCATCCAAACCTACAAAGATTTAATTGTTTACATTACGTATGTAAGCGTGATAACGTAGTGCGACTATTCACCAGTTTTACCATTTGTTATGTGAAACGATTTTCCAAGCTTTCTTACATGTTTTTATTACTATTTTTGCCTCCTTCCCTGCTGGCAAACAGTCATACTTCGAGATCAGTGAACTCTAAGTAAACTCTAAGTAAGTCCCCTTGATGCAAACGATTCCCTTGATAACGATTCTTCACAAATTACCTTAGGAAAGTCGGGATACTTCTGAACACCTTCATTTAGTAACGTTATTGCCTGAAGTAAGAGGGAAAAAGAGAGATATGAAATCGAAGCATTGTAAATAGCTAGAATCAATCAAAGAACCAGTGACGGACATCATCACACTTTTTTTTTGGGGTAGGTTGCTAAAATATGACCACCTTTTGTGGTTGGAAACCGTTAGTTCTTTAATTTTTTAGCTATCGATACTTTCATGGTTGAACAATTTTTACAGCTTTGGTGCACAGTTATTCTGCTATATTTCAAAAGCCTTTGAGAAATCATTGGTGGCAGTTGCCCCCACCCACCGGGGCCTCTCTAGTGTCTGCTACTGCAAACAAGATGACGAGGACATCAAAGATTTAACACCACGTCATACCTCTTTAATATTCCCTAGGACCCACTCCAGTTTGGCTGACTTCATCATTACTCGTGCTGTACAAGCATTCATCCTGGCTCTCTGCAGCAATTTTCTACCAGAGAAACATTTAAAATGGTGCAGTGGTTAGGGCATGTTCAACTCAATGATTCCGGTTTCCGTCTTTGGCAATGGAATGACAATTACTGTACGGCCAAAAAACAGTTTAGAGCTGAGAATTTAGACTCGATAGATTTATCCAGTCTATAACAAGTTTTCATTGGTAGGGCCTACGAAGGGGCTTCGCTCGAAACGTCGAAATTCTCCTAATATTTTTGAGGTAGTTGCATACCTACAGGGCCGCCCAGAGGTTGGCGGGGGCCCGGGGCAAATTTTTTTTTGGGGGGCCCTATCTAAAATAATTTTTCCGGAAAATTTTTTTCCGGATATTATTTTGGCGACCTCCCCCACCCCCCCCCCGTCGCCAAAAAAATTTCGGTCACTGTACCATTTTAGGGGTAAAAAAAAATTTTTCGGACGCAAAATTTTGCCGGACGAGTACGTTGCAAACGCTTTCGAGTGACTTTATCTCATTTTTTTAGGCCAAAATTCGGTACTTAGCCCAAGAAAACAGATATCTTATCCTTTGCGCGGAAATATTTAACACACAAAAAAGGCGGGGCCCCTACAAAAATTTTTCAGGGGCCCCCAGCAACTCGGGGCCCGGGGCAAATTGCCCCCCCCCCTCTGGGCGGCACTGCATCCCTACCCACGAACGCTTGTTTATTTGATTGCCACTACCTACACTGGTACACAGACAGTTCAAGTTACTATCCAGTCAATACCTTGCTCTTTGATCTTCATTATTTTCACTCTCCAGTTTCACGGCAGCCAACCAAATGTCTTCACTGTTTGGGTTAGCTTGAAATGCGAGAGCGAGAATAGATCTTGCTGCTGGAACATCACCCTAGAAACCCAGGTTCACATCTCTCAGGATAAAAACATTACTGACGTTTGGTTAATCGGGTAGTTTAAACGTATGTGATTGATTAATCGGGTAGTTTAGACGCATGTGATTGGTTAATCGGGTAGTTTAAACGCATGTGATTGGTTAATCGTGTAGTTTAAACGCATGTGATTGGTTAATCGGGTAGTTTAAACGCATGTGATTGGTTGATCGGGTAGTTTAAACGCATGTGATTGGTTAATGATAGCGGTAGTGAAAGCCAAATCTAAACCTCACTGTTGTCTCACATGAAACATCAATGTTTGTCATTTGAGAGATCGTCATCACTCAATCACGTTTAACTCATTTCATCCTTCTAACCTACCGCCATCCATTTTGATTTGGCACCCATCAACCACAGTTGTTCTGCTTTCGGACAATATTTCACAGCATTCTGTAGCAGAGCCTCAAGAGATTCCCTAGAAATAAATGCATGTACGTGGATTTGGTGGTACAGTAACAGTCTCTCGCGACTGATATCATTCGTTTGATTCTAGCTCCCGACCCAAGACATTCATGTCATCCAACGCGCTGCCAAAAGTCGTGAGAAATAAAGTTTTTACTTACCTTGTCCCATGATTCTTTTCGAAAAAAGCAGCTCGTAACCAGACTCCTTTCTTACTTGGAAACACGGTCAAGGTATGGGCATAGATCGCCCTGGCACATTCGTAAGCATTGTTAGCCACACACTAGAATTGAAACCAGCACAGGTAAGACTTTGTTTCAGTGCGTGAAAATTACAGAAGGTGATCAAATTCTCAACATCATGTGATAATCACATGCTCAACATGAGACAATCGCATGCGCAACATGTGATGATCACATGCTAAACATGCGATGATTACATGCTCAACATGTGATGATCACATTCTCAACATGCGACAATCACATGCTCAACATGTGATGATCACATGCTCAACATGTGATGATCACATGTTCACTTACACTCTCAGCGTCATCCAACCACGTGTGTTTTCTATCTTCTTCTTCAACACCTACGCCAATTACAGCACGACTGGATGGAGAAAAGAAAAAATTAGTTCATCTAAGAATGTGCATGACAAATTGTATCATCTTGACTGACCAGAATAAGTGGGGGAATTGGAAAGAATTTAAAGATCATACATGATAGCTTGACAAGTTTCAACACTGCCAGATTTTTCACTTTCTTCAGCATCCTTAACCCACTGATCTCGATTGATTTCCACTCCATTTGCCACCAGAGATGTCACAGCTGAAGATGAGATTATTTAGAAAACTAAATTATAAACTAGTATTAACTAGTATATGGGCTAGTATTCCAGAGGTCGTAGGTTCGATTCCCACCGTGGCCAGGCATATTTTTCAAGCTTGCCCAGTGTGGATATACACTCAGAGTAACATCACAAACATCATATTCACCTGAGTACATTACACCAACACAGAAAAAAATCATGATTACTAGATTACATTAATATAGAAGGAACTAGATTCTGTTCCGAAATATCACATACTCGAACCGACCTGACCGCGTAGCTCAGTTGGCAGAGCATTGGGCTAGTATTCCAAAGGTCGTAGGTTCGATTCCCACCGTGGCCAGGCATGTTTTTCGAGCTTGCCCGGTGTGGATATACACTCAGAGTAACATCACAAGCATCATATTCACCTGAGTACGTTACACCAACACAGAAAAAATCATAAATTATAAACTAATGAGATTTTATGATTTTACTTGTGATGTTCGTCTTCTGATGGATGTGAAGAAGTGGATGAGTTATGAATGTTCAGGTGAAGGCATTGAGTAAACCTCATGTAAGCAAGAATGCTGTTTTTTAGGGTTAGTAATCCAAGTGCAAAAAACAAGATTATTGAAGTCCACCTTATCACAAACCGCACACCCGATCACCTATATATACATGAACTTACGGTTACAGCTCAACAGCTGCATGGCCTCTGTAACTCAGTTGGTTCCTACCAGAGGACCTTGTGCTGCATTTTTCGCAGTCGTTCCTGGTCAGGTCTTAAAGTGTATATATACTCACTTGGATTACTAACCCTAAAAACAGCATTCATACCACCAAGTGTACTGCAAGATTATTGAAGTCCTCATATAAGCAAACCTCACTCACCTCTGTCAATGATCTTGGTGACCATGCTAGAGTTGTCATTGGCTTCCTCAAGTTTGGCAGCCGTGATCCAGATTTGTCTATCAGTCGGGATATTTTCTCGAGCTTTGTTTAATACCTTCCTTGCGTTCTCATAAACCTCGAGTCTGGCTAGAGCCAGCCATAACTCAACACTCTGAGGACAACATTCCACAGCTCGGCTCAATAAAATGCACGCATCATCTGGGTCTTCAAGTTCGACGGCTAACTTCCACAGACGAACCGAGTTAGGAATCTGCTCCAAGGCTTTTCTGTAAACACGTTTCTTCGCTTTCATTTCTGTTTCCAGTTCAGCAGCTTTGATCCAAAGACGAACTGAGTGAGTGAGATTGCGTACAGCTTGAGCGACTGTTGCTTTGCTGTTTTCTGATGGCTGAAACATACGTACAGATCATGGTAGAGGTTCAATTGGTGAACTGGAGTAAGCACTAAAGCCCCGGGCAAACTAGGAAACATTGTTCTGGAAACATTGTTTCCTGCCAATGTTTCGCCATGTTTCCCAGAGTGGGCAAACACTAGGAAACATTAGTGAGAAACATAGGGAAACATCAAATGTTTCTGACTTCCCAAGGAAACATTTTTGCTTCTCGGGAAGAAAATTTTGGTTCCGAAGCAAATTTTGTTTCCGCAACAATGTTTCCGCGGGTGGGCAAACATGGAAACATTTGAGGAAACATCGAGAATCACAAATGTTTCCACAACAATGTTTCCTAGTTTGCCCAGGGCTTAAGGCAGCAGATCAACCTCACAACTTTTGACACTGGAAAGAAAAGGAAACTGGAAAGAAAAGGAAACTGGAAAGCCAGGGATTTGTTTTGGCCCTACCATCTGCTGCACGATATTGCTTAGTAAAACCCAGCTGTATCTAAAATTGCATGAAATGATTGTTCTTCAAATGTTTACCTGTAATCTAACAGCCTCCAGCCAAACATCTTCGTCTTTGCTGCAAACTTCAGTTCCTTTCATGATAATATTTCGTGCTGACTGCATACGACCTGTCACTTCCTCCAAACGTGCTGCTGCTATCCAGCCTGGAGAGTCAAGGATTAATGAGTACCAGGGCTCAAAGTACAGAAAAAATATGGCCTGCCAGTCTAAAATTTTTTTGCAGGTAAAATAAATTTTAGCCTGCCATTTTTATTCATTGAACTGCCAGAATGGCGATGTCTCTCAATGTTTTCATGATATGCATTTTTACTGTTTTTAAACTTGTCTATTTTACTACAGTAAACTTGGATTTACATTTCAAATATAAACGTATTTAGTCAACTAAATGATCTAGTATATACGAGTTGTGGTAAGCAAATGAAATGAAATATATCTATAGAATTTCACCTGCCATTTTTTTTATTTTGGCAGTTCAAATTTGTTTTTGCCTGCCATTTCTAAAATATGGCCTGCTTTTGGCCATTGGCAGCCTGCTATTTCAAGCCCTGAGTTATCACTGGTGAAAATTCTGGATGCTACTCTGGTATTCCAGGGATGTTGCAACAGTGAAAACTGGTCATGTGATATACCTGGTCCATGATGAGGATTGGTGGTTGTGACTGATTTCAACAGAAGACGAGCTTTCTTGATGTCACTATGAATGAAAAACATTGCATTGAAAATACAGTACATTAAGTGTCAGCATCCAAGGGGCTACCAGGGGATGCAGACAATGTAATGCCCCACATTGGCAGCAAGGCTCTGTGTAATATCTTGACACATCACACATGGTCAATCAGGACATGGTCTGGAAACTCAATCAGAGTCTTCGTTTTTTTCATGTTTACACAAATTGTGCACAGTGAAGACAACACATTTTTGGCACAATGAGGCAATCATCCGATGGTATCATCTTGTTGAAACACTCAACCGTACTGTTGAAATAGTAATAAGCAAAATATCAAAAGATTTGTGCATGGTGAAGCTGTCTCATCCCAAAATTGTACCTCATTATAAACTCTTTGAAGTTTGCCAAGTTTCCAGACTATGTCTTCATTAGCTATCCTTGATGCTGCTGTGTAGCTTGATTTCATCCAAAGCTCCCTCTATATGACTAGATTGCACTCCTAATGTACACAATGAGTCTGTACAAATCAACTATTCCTTACCCAATGTCTCCACCTGATGCAGGAGTTAAACTCTGAAGATCTGTGAGATATCCTTTAGGATCAACAACTGTTTGACCCGACACTGAATCTGACGCCTGAAGAGAAAAAGTTTTTTCAAATCAAATTAGCCTCAATGCAACTTAATGGGTTGACAGATTTTTGTGACAGCTCTGAGATATTTTACCTGATCAAGTTTGACCCCAACAAGGGATTTGCGAGCTTCGCCAATCTTGGTGAGATCCAGATCACCAGAAGGCGTAGAAAAACCTGGAGTGACTGCACCTGGATATGGAGTCTGGAAGCCTGCAAGAAGCTGAGAACATGCAGGAATAAGTGGAGTTGCTTTCAGAGAAGTCGACAAACCAGAAAAAAACACAATGTTTTTTGAAAACTGATTCAACCGATGTTCAAATGGCAGTAATTCCACATATTTGTGCAAAATTGTGAAGTATTGAAGCTAAGTGCAATAGTGCATAAGCAAATCAACTAGGCCTAAAGACCCTGGGTTCACGGATGGGCCTAAAACAATACTTGTGGTTCCGGTTTCCATATTTTTTTCTGCCAACCCTATGATTTTTTTTACGCGATTGACCGTGCGACCCTATTTTCTCCGGGTGGTTGCAGGCTGCTCGTACAGCATGCCAAAATAATGTCTGTTGTCACACTAATTATTGGACCAAAAAGCCTAAATTCGTCCATAGGAAATATGCATCTTTAGTTAATATGGATGTCGGGACTCTATTGAAAATTGCCCAGCAAATAAACGCCAAAACCATAAAAAAATTTTAAAAAATTTATTTCCAACCTACCTAACCTAATTTTTTCACGATATGAAATCGGAACCACAGTATTTTTTTTAGGCCATATACCATTAATACAATTGTTTTTAAAACCAAAGTCTTGAACATGTAGTGTGAAATGTATTACTGTAGTATATTTTGGCATTAGTTATAAAAATTTTTTCAGGCAGTTTTCGGGTTTTACCCTGCAGCACCTGATTCTGCCAGTTGAGTGAAAGTACATACTTGTTGTCTGTGATCCAGGGCGGCATGTGTTGCTCCGCTCATTATTGCACTCTTCAAAAGACTGTCTGGAACTGGTGTGAATCTAAAACAATACAATCACACAAACTTCAGCCAACAATGCGACTACACAAGTCCACAGAAGCACTGGATTTTCGCAACAACTGTATTCAACTTACTTTTCTGTCCGAGGATTGCGTTGTTTTTTATTTCTTGCATCTCCAACTTCAGGAATATTGTCCCAATCGTCTTTTGTAACATCCGTAAGTTTTCTCTGGACAAAATATTTTTTATGTTTAAACCATTGACTGTAACCCATTGTAACCCATTAATCCCCTAATGTACCATACTTTATTATTTTACTTTGTTTAACCCATTCAGCTGCAGACCTTCCCCACTGACAAGTAAAATCACTTGGTGTTAGACAAGTAAAAAAAATAAGTAGGTGCACTGTGGTTCAATGGGTTAATTAGAGACATTGTCAGATTTTTTGGTTATTAACCCATTAAGCTGCAGAGATTCCCCACTGACAAGTAAAATCATCTGGCATTAGACAAGTAAAAAAAAGTAGGGTGCATTGGGGCTCAATGGGTTAATACCAGATAATTTCACTTGTCTAAATTATAAAATGTTCATCAAAATGTTATTCAGAGTAACCATTCTTTTGTATTTTATCAAAATACTGAGTGGTTCCCGTAATTACTTGTGGGGGGAGTGTGTTGGTGGCACTCAATGGGTTAATACCAGATAATTTCACTTATCTAAATTATAGAATCTTCATCAAAATGTTATTCAGAGTAACCATTCTTTTGTATTTTATCAAAATACTGAGTGGTTCCCGTAATTACTTGTGGGGGGAGTGTGTTGGTGGCACTCAATGGGTTAATACCAGATAATTTCACTTATCTAAATTATAGAATCTTCATCAAAATGTTATTCAGAGTAACCATTCTTTTGTATTTTATCAAAATACTGAGTGGTTCCCGTAATTACTTGTGGGGGGAGTGTGTTGGTGGCACTCAATGGGTTAATACCAGATAATTTCACTTATCTAAATTATAGAATCTTCATCAAAATGTTATTCAGAGTAACCATTCTTTTGTATTTTATCAAAATACTGAGTGGTTCCCGTAATTACTTGTGGGGGGAGTGTGTTGGTGGCACTCAATGGGTTAATACCAGATAATTTCACTTATCTAAATTATAGAATCTTCATCAAAATGTTATTCAGAGTAACCATTCTTTTGTATTTTATCAAAATACTGAGTGGTTCCCGTAATTACTTGTGGGGGGAGTGTGTTGGTGGCACTCAATGGGTTAATACCAGATAATTTCACTTGTCTAAATTATAGAATCTTCATCAAAATGTTATTCAGAGTAACCATTCTTTTGTATTTCATCAAAATACTGAGTGGTTCCCGTAATTACTTGTCAAGGGGGGAGTGTGTTGGCACTCAATGGATTAATGCCCAATGCTATCCATTGAGAGTAGTAAAGCATCTCACAGAAGCCAGGGTAAGGTAACAAAGTAGGGTGCAATAAAGGGTATTGCAGTATAATGTGTTGATCCTGGCTTACTGCTGATAAATATACATATCAAATACAATTACCTTCAAGTCAGAAAACTGCTGTTGAATTTTTGGTCGTTCTTGACGATATTTCTCAACAACTTCTTTGAACTTTTTCTCTCTAAAAAACAACAGATTCTGAAGTTAATGCAAAGCAAGTCTGAAGAAAAATTATATATTTGGTGTTAGACAGAGTAAAATAATCTTGTATTATGATAGCTAATTTTTTACCTGCGTTCTTTGCGTCTGCCGTCCATTCTCTTATCAATAGCTTCATATATAGCATCTGCTTCAATATCATCTTTCTCATAAGGTCCACTCGTAAATAAACTTCCACCATAGCCTGCAAACTGTCATGAAGGAAATAAAAAATGTCATATATAGTTAAGGTGGTAATGGCAAAGAGGGTAACCCATTCTTAATGACATATCTATGTTAACTTATTCTTTTAATTTCGATTTGAGCTGGGAATCAAATTTGAAATTGAATATAAATTGGAAATTGAATTTGAGCTGGAAAGTGAATTTCCAGGGCCACAGAGTTCATAAGAAGGGTGCACAACATACTTTCCAGTAAGGAGTATCTATAGATGTTCCCAGAGGCAGGGGGTAAAGGTATTCCTGGGGTAAAGATTTATGAGAGGGGTGTGTATATTTTCCTGAGGAACAGAAATATAAAGGTGAAGGGTGTGGTCTGTGGCAAGGAGGGGTGTGTGGCGATGGCAGGGAGGGGTGTGTGGGGTGAGGTGCAGCAGGGGCATGGAGAGGGGTGTGGCAAGGGGTGATGTGGAGGAAGGGGTGTGGAGAGGGGGCAGGGAGGGGTGTGGAGAGGGGCAGGGAGGGGTGTAGAGAGGGTGTATGGAGGGGAAGGCTTATTTCTCAGTGTACCTCATCATAATTTGTGTCATTTAAATCTTCATCATCGTCATCATCTTTCTTTTTTTGAACATTCATATGACGTTCATCACTACAAAATATTGATCTGTAAACTCAAGACAAACTATCCCAGTACAATTTAATAATAGCATATGTAGCATAAGCTTAAAATTTGCTTACAAACGACAAATTGATAATTGCAGCTTACCTCACATCTGTTGGCTCTCGAGCAGGACCAATATCAGACCGTGTCGTGAAACCTGTCGCCCTGTCAAAACACAACCCACGTTATTTTAAGAACTACAGCTTCATGTGTATGTCAAAACATATATATTTTCACAAGTATAAAAGCACAAAAATACAATTTTAAGCAAACCTACCCACGGCCAAGACCTGGCACATATCCTAACGGAGCATCCACACCAATAAATGATTTCTTTTTATTCAGGAAAGCCATAGTTCTTGCACGTTTTTTACATCGAAAACGTTTCTGTTTACAATTTTTCCAACATGGCGCTGCTGGCTTGGTAACCACGCCACAATAGCGAGCGCTGAGGACTTCAGAGGACTGAGGCACAGATAGAGACATGGTGCGCTTACGAGAGGCATTCACCCCCCCGGAACATCCACCATTTTAAATATTTTCAGGGGGTGAATGCCTCTCGTAAGCACACTAGTTTTAATAGGAACATCGACAGCATTGCGACGGTTACGCCAAAATCACAAGCAAAGCGAAGGAGTCGGCATTGGTGGATTCTCACTAGACACTAGCCTGAACTTTAAACGCTTCAGTGGTTCTCGGCGTAAAATAGCTATAATTAGCTATAATAGTCTTTGAATACATACTTAGATTATCACTGGCTCAATCTTTCAAGACCACTACCTACACTAACAACCATTTGAAGTTTGCTTCAACAACCAAATGTTTGAATACTGTGAGAATATTTTAATACTGTGAGAATCGTTTCCAAAACTCGTCTACACTTACAGCCTTACACTTAAGCAGAACTCTTTGAGATTTAAGCAAATAAGAATCTATCACAAATTATCTGTGCAGTTTTTCAAGACCTTTAACCACAATGACAGCCAACATATGCAGTATATAGTTTATAGGCTGCCAGGCTGGTGAAAATCTAGTACCATAAAGGGCGACTGTATTTTCAGAAAAGAGTGTTATCATGCTCCGATGCAAAAACGATATTAAAATATGTTCCATAAAAATCATTACATATTCATAACAATTGTTTAACCACGTTTCAAATGAATGCACGGGAACACAAACCATCGACAGTGAAGCGTGAAGGGTATTTGGTTTTGATACCAATTAACATTCTCAACACACAGCAAGGCATAAAGGCAGACTGTCAGATGATGTAACATTAAAAACATCAAAATTCTTGCAACAATTCATCAAGGTTTAATAACCATTCAATTCAGAAACTACTGGTGACACCAAGGGAAGATTTCTACAGCAAGAAGATCACTAAAGAGACTAATAAACCACTGATACTCAATGCAAGCGAGTGTTAAAAGCGTTCATCCATAGCGTTGGGCGATATTTTCAAATTGGTGGTCAAAGAGAATTGATACAGACATTTTTTATTGTAGCGAAAATATTTGGGTGTTCGTCGGTCATTTGAATGGCGGAGGTTTCAGCTGGGCCATGTAAGTCATTGGGGTAGTTAGACCAGCGCTCACTACACTAGAGACATACACCTTACGATTGATGTTCACGGTAGACTGCTAACTACGAACGCCAAGTCCAAATCGTATTTTGAACTCAATTGTTAGCTGTTCGAAGTCAAGACAACTTAAAGCATGAATTAGCAATTTATAGCTGTCGAAGACTTGTAAATGCGATTTCAAATGTGTCGTCTGTCGTAAACGTCAATCTCAACTGTAGCGGGCCTCAGCCAGACAACACACCGGATCTCGCTCCCTCGGCATCAATACTGATAATCGTTCAGGAGTTATTTATCAGTACTAAAAACTCCCCCCTAGTTTCAGTTTCGATCTATTTTATCACAGAAGGAAATCATGAAATTGCTAAATTCGATATTAAAATTTTGGATAAGCGACGTTCCGATTTAGGCACTTTTTTGGCCATTGCCCATGATTCAATGATGAGATTACAGGGACATTTCAAGCTCTAGATTAACAAAATAAAGGTTTGATGACGAGTGTTCCCAAAAGGGTGTTGATGGGGTAAATCGTGAGTCGTGATTCACTCAATTCGGTTACCGTCAGTCGTGAAAACACTAAAACGTAACCCAAATTATATTGAAAGTCTAAATCGATCTGTGATATAATAACTGTTGGAATAAGCACCAGCTTTTGGGTACTACTTGTGTCTTGTCAAGGGCAGGGCATTTTTTAACTGTCAAACTAGTGGAGCATTTACCTTAGCTAGTATAGACCTTTGCTTGCCCCAGTAACGAAGCAAGATTTGGCCATCTTGGCGTCGCTTTTCTCATAGCCATAGGCCGAATGAAAAAATGCCGACGTTCTTGCTCAAGATCATTGCTCCAGATATACATATATCGCTCACTGGATTGAGTGTTTCCACATGGTATTAACCTATTTCTACATTTCATTTAAGATCTTTTTCTGGTGTTCATCGTCGTGCTCATTGTCCTGCTATATCTCCTCAACAAGAAACTAGACACTATGCCCCCAAATATAGACCCGCGCGCGCAAGACGATGATGGCGAAGAATTGCTGACGTCAACAGAATATACTGATTATACATCAAATGACATCACTCCGTACAGTAGTGAATATAGCACAGAGTAGTGTAATGTAGTACAATGTTAGCTTTTAAAACTGGTTTACACTATCAAAGTTTCTGTGATCACAGTAGGAATTTTGCATCGGTAAATTCTAAGTTTTGAAGGATTTGTAAGAAATGCTTGTTAGTAAGTTCTTTGAATGTTTGCATGGCGATAAAATATAATTGTTTTTGTTTGTGGAAACACCACGTAAATTTACTAGATTTGCTTGTTAGTGTTTAATACCGAGTCAGTTTCCTCAAACATTTCTTACAAATCCTTCAAAACGTAGAATGTATCTTTGCAAAATTCCTACTGTGATCACAGAAACTTTGATAGTGTTACCCAGCCTTCAAGCAGTGTCGCCTGCTGAACGATGTGATTTAGTCGGAGTGAAACTAAGTCAGAGAATAGACTACAAAGAAGCCGGACTTCTTGATTTTTCCTATGATTTTCCAATGATTTTGGCGTAAGCGCGTAATTCGTCATCAAAATGCTGACGCCATGGGCCTAGCCAGTGCGCGTTTGAGAGGCATTCCGTCTACCTTTATCATAGATATCTTATATATACACTAGATAGTGCAACTAATTATTCTGCAATTCAAAAATTGAAGCCGTGATTGCAGACTCAGGATATTCCCATGAAATGAGAAGACTCGTATGTTTTCTATTTCTTAAACAGGGAACTTAAACATTAAGTTAAACCTATTCCAAATACGTTTTCAAACTATTCAAATGATGAAAGTTGTTGTTGTTTTTTAAGCGTTTATTAGCGAGTGGGAAACTCCAACATGGCCGCCATCTATTCAAATGGGGGTAACCGCTGGAATATTCTTGGTTTCAATTTTACTAAAAGAGATGCGCTATCTAGTGTACATATATAAGATATCTATGGCCTTTATTCTGTGATAAGTTTTTTGTAGCAAATTTGTGGAAAAGGAGTGGCGATGATATTGTATGGGTTTAATATGGCTCTTTATGTAATAAACGTTGGTCTAATTAACACCAAATCTTCAATTTAGATAAATTTATTAAAATAATTTGATTTTTGCTCTCCAAACATGTTAAAAAATTGTCACATTGTCGCAACGAATAAAATCACATCGCTCAGCAGGTGACACTGGCTAACATGTCAAGGTCACTGGATGACGAATGTAATAGTGTCGATATATCTCTATAAACTGATTTACATCAGCACACAAAAGACAAGATATGTCACAACAAGGCAATTTTTGTTGCAACTTGCAATGATATTTCTGACATAGAGCGATGTTATCTAAAACGTCTCGGTGAAATTGTGAGTATGGCCCAAGATCTATTCTGCTGACATTTTCACCCCATTCTTTCATTTTTCATTCCTTAAGAGCATGTGATGAAAGTTTCCGCAGAATGCACGTCATTCTCACAACTAGATCACCAACTCTGTGTCAAACATTGGTGAGTGTTGATGAGAGTTGACAAAATAAAGGTTTTTCGTCAGAGTGTCCCAACTATGTTTTAACTTAAATAAAATAGATGATAGTGTTAGGAAAGCATTGGATTATAATCTTGAACTGTCGATCGCACTAATGTATGGATGCAAAAGCTTGTTCAACAGGGTTACTACAGTAAAACCCCGCATATAAGACTTAGATTTTAAGAACCTATTAGGCTAAAATTGCTTATTTATAGACCCCCGTTATATAAGAAACTGTTTAAGCTAAAATTTCAAACAAGTTCTTATTATCATGATTTTTCTGTGTTGGTGTAATGTACTCAGGTGAATATGATGCTTGTGATGTTACTCTGAGTGTATATCCACACCGGGCAAGCTTGAAAAATTCTGTTCCGAAATATCACATACTCGAACCGACCAGATCGCGTAGCTCAGTTGGCAGAGCATTGAGCTAGTATTCCAAAGGTCGTAGGTTCGATTCCCACCGTGGTCAGGCATATTTTTCAAGCTTGCCCGGTGTGGATATACACCCAGAGTAACATCACAAGCATCAGGTTCTTATTATATTTTTATCACTCTGAAAGTTGAAACTAAAAATTTATAAATCAAAGAAAACATATTCTTCTCTTCATTTGGGCAAAATTTATATCATTTTCTACACCAACCAAAAATGAGTTGCTTTCTCTTTAGAAGATAAGAACCTATTTAATTTTAAGAACCTGTTTAGCCTAATTTTACGATAAGCATCATTTATATAAAAACCTGTTTAGGCCAACTTGGAAAATCTAGGTTCTTATACGCGCGGGGGTTTCCTGTCATTTTTCAATTGAATAAAAATAATTTGTATTTCAAAGGTATAGGTTGTCGAATAGCTGACCGCGACTTTCAAGGATAATCGAGCACGTAAAGTTGGCTAATGATCATTCCTGGAAACTTTTATTGTGCAAGCCAGCTTTAATGTACAGATTATACAAATATATGTACAGTCGCTCAAAAATGTGCTGTGGCATTTTTTCAGTGGTATTGATTTTTATATACACATTGATGGGAGATGGGACTTCTTACAGCCACTTTTCAAGACAGCAACGTTTTGCAACACTGTTAATGCAAGTTTGCTACAAGTCTGTCACTAGTGTTAAAGTATATATCTCACTAACAAGATACAAAAATTTCACGTGGCATTTTCGTCTATTTATAGATATAGAAACTATTTCCAGCGCAAAAAAATGCAGACGAAACACCCTATTTTCTAACAAATCATTAAAGTTTATATAATAGACCGGACTCTAACAAAACATAAAAAACGACCTATATATACTTTTTCCGATATACTATATCATATGGAAATTATAATATGTCTGGAAAATGCAGTATAAAAATGGCGAGGATTTTCAACCCCCAAGGTATAAATAAAATTACAGTCAAAAAAGAAAACTAAAAAAAAATTCTACCCAAAACATTTGAATTTCTGTGGCCACAAATAATTTATAGATATTGTCTAGGTTTCATTTCTAGGTAAGGCAGCTGCTTATAGCTCTTTAGAAAAACTAGATAGTAATCAATGTATAATAATGAGTTTGTATTGGACATATTGTTCATTAAAACCAATTCATGTAAGCTTACTGATAACTGAGATAAACTTGTATGGTAATACTAGTCCAGACAATAATGAAATTAGAAAAAAAATAAAGAAATTAGAATTAGAACGAGTGTTGATGAAATTAGAACGCCAATTACGGAAAATAGACGTAACTTTCCTACATAAAATATAATAAGCTTTACACGCAAATCAAAATAAAGGATATTTATGATTAAGTCGGAGATTTTACTAATTAGAATTGTCACATAACACGTACGTTTCCCGGGGGAAGGAAGAAAAAAATGAATGAATGAGAAATCGTTTATACTGGATAACTCTATCAGTTCTAAACTGTTCTTCCCAGAGGTCCAGTAAGGAACTCTTATTCACTGATCCAGTGTTACTACAGGAGGAAACCTAAACTAAACTAACTTTATTTATACTGGATAACTCTATCAGTTCTAAACTGTTCTTCCTAGAGGTCCAGTAAGGATCTCTTATTCACTGATCCAGTGTTACTACAGGAGGAAAGCTAACCTAAACTAACTTTATTTATACTGGATAACTCTATCAGTTCTGAACTGTTCTTCCTAGAGGTGCGGTAAGGATCATCTCTTATTGATCCAGTGTTACTACAGGAGGAAACCAAAACTAACCTAACCTTATTTATACTGGATAACTCTATCAGTTCTAAACTGTTCTCATTATAAAGGTCCAGTAAGGATCATCTCTTATTGATCCAGTGTTACTAGAGGAGGAAACCTAAACTAAACTAACTTTATTTATACTGGATAACTCTATCAGTTCTAAACTGTTTTCCTTATAAAGGTCCAGTAAGGGTCATCCGGTAGGGTGAATCAGCAGTTTTTTCATATGTGACTGAAGTGTCCAGAACCACCTTAATTAGAGAGAGTATTACTAAAAGTACGAAAAATTGAAACCAAAATTGATGCACGTTTTAAAATGGGAAGGAAAAGTTTCCTCTCATACAAAACTAGATATAGGAAGAGATGAACACCGATAAATGAATAGATTAATAGATAATAATTTTTAGTGCCTAAACCACTTGAACACCCCCCCCCCTGCAAATTTTTCCACACATTCGAGAAGAAACAAAACAATTGAAGTTAACAAAGAAACGTGATAACATCCTCTGCACATCCACAGATAACATCCCTTGCACATAGAAGAAACATAAGCACGAAATGCAAAACGACACAAAAGCGAGGGCCCAATACAATTTACTTTAACGAAGAAAGCGAGGGCGTAAAAAAATAAACTAATTGTGAATGAGATAAGATCAGTGTATTGTTGACCCAGGGATTAAATTAAATCGAAATCGAAATAAATCACACAGAGACCTGTGGAACAGACACAAGTACAGTGCAAAGACTCAACGCATCTATCATATAGGTAAGCTATTTTTCATTTTTTACAAAACATTTTAGATTTGTACGGTTCGTTTTACTTTAGAATCCAGAACATTGCATGGCGTGTAGAAAAATCAGTGCTCGATGATTTATATTTTTCAACGGGAGTGTTCCCAAACGTGAAAATATAGTAGCAATTTTTGTATTTCTAGCTTATCGTGAACCACTTTAACCACTGTTATTCATAGCAAACTCTCATTTCAAGAGTATCTTACTTTTTTAAAACTCTTTACTTACGTTCCACGCATGCATGGCGTGCTGTAGCGAAAAAGCAAAAAATCTTGATGAAAAAAAAGATGCAGTACGGTGAAGTGTTAAGAAAGAGAAAATATCGACTCATATTGTGTGGTTTCAAATCATTTTTGTGGTGTTCGTTTGTAAGTAACATGCTGGGATTTCTATGAAGTGCAGAACGTATGTATGACAAGACTCGTGTTTCACGATAAAATCTAACAATACACAAGGCGGCAAGGGTATTCTAGTGTCACAATAAAAGTACATTCTACAATAGTAAGCCATGATCTTTTTCTTTCGTACTACGCAGACTTTATTATATTTATTAATCAAGGAGGGAAAAATCATAATAATGCATAATTAATACAATGATCGTTATCACACATTCTACACAGAAAACATCTAATAGTTTATATATCAGTTCTTTTTTCTTTTAACTTACAAACATAAAATGCAACCATATGATGGTGTAACTTAATGAAATGTTTCAGTGTTGTACAATGTGAATGAAGAATAAAAAGCGATATCTGCGGTGTGATAATTAGCAACCACATATGAAATTAAGAAGGTGAAAATGAGCGAACAATGTTATCATGGAAATCTTGATCACAATTTACATTCCTATTGTAGCAAGGAATGCCTCCAAGCTAAGCTGTGTCGTGATGATGGGGTTTAGTAATGGCACAGAATAGAGACAAACAGAAGCCAGACTTCTTGGTTTTTCCAATGATTTTGGCGTAACCGTAGTTCCTCATCAAAATGCTGATGCCACAGGCCTAGGCAGTACGCCTATGAGAGGCATCTCCCGATAATATTAAAAATGGTGGACGTCCAGGGAAGTCTCTCAAAAGCGCACTGGACCATGGGGTCAGCATTTTGATGACGAATCCTGGCGTGGCAGCGGTTACGCTTATGTGGCTGAGTCGACCTTCTGTGTGTTTTTATTCTGTGGTAAAGGGCTCTTCACATGATTGTGGTTTGCCAAAACGGAAGGCGGGATGATTTTGATGTATTGAAATCAATCACTAGACTTAAACGAAAGCTCGAACGCCAGTTAAAAGACCTCAAATGTTGTCGAGAAGATCTCGTAGTTCAAGAAGATTATTATTGCTGCGTTTACAATTATACCAAATCTATCACTAAAAAAATAATGTAGTTTTGCTATGGATCGTACACGGTGACGTATGTCAGTACATCAAATCATCTCGCATCTCGCCGCGGTAAACCAGCAAACCAGGATGATGTAAACAGCTCCTTAAGCATTGCAGGGCAGACGATTGTGGTTAACGTCAGAGACATTTGCTTCTTGTTCATTATAGAGAAACAAGGATGAAAGCTTCACATGTATGCCTCGTGATTTTGGCAAATTTCTGCTTATCAACGCTAGCACTACCGGCATTAGGAAAAGGTTAGATATTTTATACCAAATATATTTATGATGTATACTCCTCTCTAAAGCAACCTCTTAAATATGTTCCCCTCCTCTTAATAACGCCCTTTGTTCAGAGAAATGATTTAATCAAGCCGGACTAACCCTAATCCAAGGTAATGTCAAAAAGGGATGAATGAGAGGTAGTTTACGAGATGGTTCCAAAATTGAAACAAGAGTTGGCGTTAGTACTAATTAGGGTTAATGTGGGGGTTAGGATTAGGTAAGGGTAAGGTTTAGTATTGTTGCAATTGGCTGGTTGTTGTTTCTTCAACGTTTTAAAAACTAGCGGTCATCTTGAAAATCTGCCTCTAGTCCATCCCCTTTAGCTACGACCCCTAACCTAAATGATTGAATCAAGCCCCCTCTTATGTTAGTCAACTGTTTCTTATCCCCCCTGTCCTTCGGTTAAATCAATAAACAATTCTTTTCTATAAAGCCATATACCCCCTCCCCCCAGAACAACCCAATACCACATTGCTACCGATTAGACTTATGATTTGGTCTAGAACGTCACGCTGTTTAATATATTTTTACTTATAAAGTTTCGGTTAAATCTATAAACCCTTCTTTTCTATAAAGCCACATACTTCCCCCCTACCCCTGCACAACCCAAATACCACATTGCTACCGATTAGACTTATGATTTGGTCTAGAACGACACGCAGTTTAATATATTTTTACTTATAAAGTTTCGGTTAAATCTATAAACCCTTCCTTTCTATAAGGCCAAATACTCCCCCCCCCCCTCCCGCACAAATCAAATACCGCATGGCTACCGATT